CCAGTTTTCTTACTTTTAAATGCAGGTCATGTAACGCAAATTAATGGCATTTTTAGAGGCTCTGAAATTTTATATAGAAAATATTTAATATTAAGAAATTAATACTTTTTATTCATGTAAAAACAATTTACAGAGAGAGAGAGAGAGAGAGAGAGAGAGAGAGAGAGAGAGAGATGGTTATTAAAAAATTAAAGTAATATCAAAATATTAACGTCAGACCAGTAGCATTACTAATACGATCTAAAACTACTGCAAGATCCATATAGCACTAAGTAATATGTGTGATGGAGGTGGAGAGGATAAACATGAATGCATGGAGGTTTGCAATATATATGCTGAATATTTAGAATCATAATACATGGTTTGTCATAATTCATAATGTATACTGTATGCTAAGCAAATTTGAATGTTGCAATAGATCAATGTCAAGGTCAAAGATAATGAAAAAGTTGACGAATAGTATTTTTGATTTCATATGGGATAAATGTGACAGAATTAAGAGAAAGGCAAACAAGAAGATGGGGGAATAGAATTGGTAGATATTTATTTGAAATGAAAGTCCTTAAAGGCTTCATGGGTTAACAAGACATAGTAGTGAATCATGTACTAAACGAAGTCATATATGGATACCTAAAGAAATGAAGATGTTTATATAAATTATTTACTTGTATTATCTAAAAGAAAATTGAAATTTACATTCATGAAATTTGAAGATAACGAATAGATATCAAGATCTAAGTACACTGGATTAATGCATATTGGGAACAGAGCAAACACGGACCTCTAAAATCATCAGAGGAAAGAACAAGTGCCATGGAGGAGTAAGCATCCCCTGTCAACCGGTCACATCCATTATGTGTTCCTTGTCATGATCGGGCGAACGAAAACATCCGTAGACATTTCAGTGTGAAAATATTGGCCCAAAGATTTGAATAAAAAACGTCAGTCAACATTTGTATTTGCTAACAAGGCCATTGTATCGACCATATAATTCGCGAAATGTTAACTTTAATTAAATTCGGAGATAAGGAACAGTATTGAAGTGCATAACACACCAAATAAGCTATTTGATATTGAAATCAAGCATTATGTCCACTATATTTCTATCTGCTTCGATATCTTCTACATTACTCCTGAAATAAGGATGTGAAATATTTTACAAATACAATAAATATTTATGCTTCTGTCAGATGATAAGATTTTATGAACTTGAAATTTACTTTTGTAAAATTCACTATTCACGACATATTAAAGAATGAAGTTGTAATTATATATTTTCTTAACAAAGTTGTCTTCCAATAAAAAAGAGAGCAACATTACTAATCATCCAACTCAAAATATTAAAGTCGCCCGCGTGGCGCAGTGGTTAGAGCGTCTGCTCTAGAGTCGCGGAGCAAGGAGTTGATCCTTACGTCGCGGGTTCGAATCCCACTGTGGGACGTGGAGACCGGTCCTTCGGATGAGACCGTATAAACCGAGGTCCCGTGTCGCAGTAGGTGCTGGTTCGAAAAAGATCACTGCTCAATGGCCGTAAGTGCCGAGTATAGGACAAAATTTGCAGCTCTCCACCGGCAAGTGGTGGCGTCTCCATATGAGTGAAAAATTCTCGAGAGGGACGTTAAACAACAAACAAACAAAATATTAAAATTATGGAATACATCGTAGCCATTTAATAGATGTTAATTTACCCTAATGAATTGCAAATATTCAAAATAAATATTGGCATTTATACATGTAAAGCCCTTGGACAGATAATCTTTTTTCTTTCAGTGTATTTTCTGTACACTTCTTTCTAGCCAAAAATTCCATATTTTTCTGTGAATTTGATAGGTCGTTGATTTTCTTTCCTTTTTTTTTTTAAAATATATAAATAATATTTTTTCTCTTCGTTTAAATATCTTTTCTCTTTCTTAATTTTCGTTCGACCCTCTCTTCCTTAGCTGATTTCCTTAATTTATTTTGCTTTTCTTCCTTGCTGGTACGGACATCGAAAATTAGAGAATTATCTAGTATGTTCTATTTATTTCCCTCTCAAACATTTTATCTTTATTTTCTTTCGACCGTCTTCCGCAATTTTTCCTTCTCTACTCCAGGCGTTAAAGATATTGTAGACTTTTCTATTTATGCTTATTTTTCCGTCTAATTTTAATTTTTATAAGCCTTTCCTTCCAATTGATTATTTTCAGACTTAACTTTTAAAACTTATTTTACTTAAAAATGTGTTAATGAGAGCATACAAACCTGTATGAAAGCCTTATTATTGATTACATTACTTATTTTGGTGAGAATAATTACTACAAAGCGATATCATTTAACAATAAAACATAATAGTAGTTATCTCCCTGTCTCTGTCGCTCTCTCTCTCTCTCTCTCTCTCTCTCTCTCTCTCTGGTGCAATGTTATGACTGAAAAAAATATCTATTAAACTTCACGATAAACGTGATCAATTAACCTTTTTCTTTTGTCAGCTTCGCTTATTTATGAAGCAATATACCATTATCATCTACACATAGAGTTCTGTCTCCCAGATGAATTGATAGTCTAGGCATGTTCTGCGTATGAACAATATCGAAACCAAGGCCGGTTACTGATAAATAAGCTAACTTTATAAGTTTATCGACTCTTTCGTTAACGTCAACATTTCTGAAAATCTTTTGTTGGTAGAGTGATCTTGCTTACAAAAACAACCTGCCGTTTGGTCCAATGACTGAGATATTAAATGCAAATTGTCAGTCCATTATTTTTAAACTGACTCATCTACGGATTACTCGATCTAGATAAAGGGCTCACGACGGGTGTACGGTCGACAGGGTATGCTTACTTCTTCGTGGTACCTCATCCCATCTTTGATAGTTTTGAGAGGTCCGTGTTTGCTCTGGCTTTGATTTGTATTTTTAAATATCTTTTGACTATGATTACTGTCCCCCATTTTTTTTTTTTTACATTTCATGCCTTAAATTAAAAAATAAATGCAAATCACATGACTCATGTTTATAATTACGACACTTCTGATTATCAAATGTTTCTCTGTCAAGAAAAAAATAGATCAACATTTGGGACAAAAATTCGTATGCCAGATTGCCAGTCATATATAATAATAATCTAATAAAGATCTAGTTGACCAACATTGCCTCTGTACACTGTAAATCTTTAATTTACTGGGTGGCAGTTATTATAAACTCTTCTGAAAATTTTGTATTTACTGCAACACAATAAATTCAAATTAAACAATATAGCAAGTGTACATTTTTTAAATTAGTTTTCTTGGTTATATGCCCGATTTTTCGAAAGAAATATCAAATCATTATTAATGAGGCCATGTTACTATATCTGCCCTCTATTTCATACCATATACACTAATACCCCTATTCCCTTACCATTTTGCATTTGAGAAGAAAATGTGTTATGTACCATAAAAACAAGGTATATGAACGCAATTCATTCTAAACAGAACATTAAGATTTTTTTTTTTACAAATTTAAAAGTATTTAAAACATGTAAAAACAGAAAATATGTGATTCAACAGGAAGGACAAAGCTCTATAATAAATCATTTTCTTTGGCTGACATTTTGCAATTTCAGTAACCATATTAGACTCTCTAAAAATATTTTGCGTGCAATATAACTTTTCCCAAAGTTTTCGTGAGAGGGAAACTAATACATAACAGATAGTGATAGTGGGGAAAAAGATGATTGACATAAAATGATGACCGACTCCTACAAAGAGTAGTTATTTGTTTTTAATTTTACAAGAGACACAAAACTGGAGGGAATAGGAAGAATCAACAAAAAGCTTTACTGACAGTACTACCGGGGGATGTACATTTAAATTCCTGATTTGTTACGTAATTACAGTGAATTAGTTTGTAATTGCAAAAAGGTAAAAAGGAAAAAATATTTTGATTACTATGAATTTGCATTGTTACAATTCTAACATATCTTTGATAAAATTACAATTTTAGACATTGTAGTTGCGGACGGGAGAAGGCATTCGTGAGGTGCCAACACATTGTGTTTCAATGTGCCATGTAATAAATTAGAATAATAATGAAACAGTTATCACTTATACCCGATCTTGGAAGAGTTATAAGAAAAGTGGACGCATCTCGGGTCAGTAAATTCCAGGATAAATATTGGGGACACCACTGAATTATTCAAATGTATAACGTATGATTCTGTGTAGGCGTGCTTAGAGTGATCTTCATGGTGACAATGTAATGTCCAAATTCTAGCAGATGACAGAGTCCAGATCACGCCATATAATTCCTTAATTGTGTCATATGAATTATATATGTGAAGAAAGCCATAAACGAAACAAGACAAAATATTTAGGAATACTCCTTTTTTATACATGGATACCATTTGTATACTAGTATTCGATGGACTCTCGGCTAAAATCAACTATTTACATTCTGAACACAGTTAACGGAACATTGATAACCTCTGTTTTCTTAGGAGTCTGTAGGCAGCACTAATTGTTCAGTAAACATCAAAGTCTGAAAAGAAAAATTCATTAAAAATAATACAATTAATTGTATTTCAAGAGAGGAAGTATGGTATCCTTAGATCTTATTAGTTTTATTTCTTTCCAAAATTGAATATTTTACTTATGGCTAATTAAATATGACTCACTTCAAAATAATTACGTTGTTTGGAAGGCTGATCGATTTCTTTAAAAAATCTACATTTTCTTGAATATATTGTAATTGTTTTCTAAGTAATAAAAATATTACGACAAACTATACAGGATTTGGCTAATAATGTAAATAGTTTCCTACCTCCACAGCTTTTAAAGTTGTCAAAAACAAAGTTATTTCTAGTTATTTCTTTGAATTCTTTTCCTATGATGAATATAAAAAGGTAATTAAATTCCTTCATGTAAGAAAAGATGAAGATAACAAATAGTGATCATTCTAATAAATCCCAAAATAAAAGGTATCGTGAACAGGTCAAAAACATGTATAATGTTAAATATAGTAATAATGTTAATGATAATAATGTTAGTTCTTTAGAATGATCTCTTTTGTTACAAAACTTTTTCTTACGATCGAAAACTGTGTCATTTTTCTCTGTCTCGCTCTTACTGAGTTGGACAGTCTAATTTCCAATCCCTGTCGTCTCCCTGGCTGGATTTGTGATTTACTTTTAATTTCCCCACCGCCCTGAAGTAATTAAGTTAATGAAAATGCAATTTAAATATGCAATTGCAACTTTAAATGTGACTGACTGGATTCAGTATAAGTATCATACCCATTTCATATCCGCTTGTTTACTTCTTTTAGTTAGACTATCTGTCGAGGAGAATGTCGATCCGAACTTTATAGTTCTTTGTTCAGGTTGAGATTGGTTTGTTATGTCTGTCCGACTCAGAATCCTATTTTCCCTAGCCTTCATGACCGAAAAAAGAAACAGTGAAACTTAGATTCTCTACTTTCATTTAAAAAAAGGCATAAACCTAAAACATTCTACAACTTAAATTTCATATTACCTGAGTTTTCACTGAGGTCAAGAAAGGATTCTCGGTAACTGTACATTCTTTAACTGTCCTCAAATTATCTTCTGTATTGATTTGTACATCATTTTCCTGAAAATACGTTACTATCTAATTCTATTCCAGTATACAAAATACTTTTTATTGATATATATCAATAAATAATCGCCAAACATTTTATTGGTTTTGACAACTTATTTTGCATTACTCGCGTTTCCGTTGTGGTCATGTTAAGATGGTCTTCATCATCTGAATGTTTATTTATCGTCCTCAGGTTTAAATTCTCTGTTCCTGTTTGAAGTTGTATTTCATTTTCTGTCAGTTCGTTGAGGACCTTATAAAAACAGTTTCATATTTTTTATATAATAATACACTAATGAGGTGGTTAAAACAATTCAATGTTTTCCACAAAATTTTGGTCAACATCAAACGAACAATGAAATCAAAAATGTTGGCAGAATAACGACAAATTTTTATGAACGAACTTTTTTCACAAATGGACTTGAAATGTTTCAGGAGTTTAATACATCATTTTTCATCGATTCATTCAATATGCCTGCAAAACGTTTTAACTGTTTTTTGTGCTTCCAGCCATTGCAACACTTCTTCCTTGTTTATGAAAGCAAAATTGCCTTGTATGGTCTGATATATTTGACTTCAAAAATCTGGTGAATATGGAGATCTATATTTCTATTTGCATATATATATATATATATATATATATATATATATATATATATATATATATATATATATATATATATATATATATAGTAACTATCAACTATATTATCCTAATTTTAAAATCTTTACGACATATTTTTCATTACTTGTGATTCCACTGAGGTCGAGTAAAGTTGATTGTCGATAACCCCACTTCCATTAACTGTCATTTGTGTTTTCTCATCTGCTTTAAGATATGTGTTATTTCCCCACATTTTTCCGGGCTCCGTCTGTAATTACATTATTGATGAAAAAATAGGTAAACATTCATTACCTAAATGAATACTGATCAGTAAATTTTGATCTTAATCTTGATTAGTTACTGTAACATTACTTGTGTTTCCAATGAAGCTTCTTGGAGGTGAGTTTCCGCATCTGTATGTCGAATAGCTGTCCATGATCCAGTCTGTTCTGTATGGAGCTGTACATTACTCCCCAACTCCTCCTCGGGGTCCTTCTGATATAACAATAAATGAACAGATTCACAAAGTTAGCTATGGTCATTCCAAAATTATTTCATTTTGGTCTTCAAATATTCAATATGTGATATTTTCCACCTGTTAATGTGAAATTAGATAAGTTAAAACCCTCGACAGGGCTTTTCACTTCGATTACTCTCTCTCTCTCTCTCTCTCTCTCTCTCTCTCTCTCTCTCTCTCTCTCTCTGTTGATACTTTAATGACTTACAAAATCCACATAACTAGAATTAATAAGCCCTGTTCTCTGCGTGTTTGAGATAGTATTTTCTGACCCTGTTGTTGATACTATTCTTTGATCTTTCTCCTTGTCAGTGGATTTGTCTCTTTCTCTCTTTAAAAATGGGTATTTTTCTTGTAACGCATCCCTTATCTAGAAATATTTTTCATTTGTTTATGATATTTAAAGTAAGTAATCTTTTGCAAACGCAGTGTTTGTCAATATCACATTTGAGGTCAGCTTACAGACATTTTACAGACCTTTTTATTCAGCAAGACTTGCGTGACGAATATCAACAATCCCTTGAAATACAAAAAGTTATTAAAGAAGAACGTTTTTTCGCCTTACTGCAGGCAGTTTTAACACATTATACAATAGAAACTGAGTTCATAATTTGACTGACAAAACTTATAAATATCAATAAAAACATAATAATTAGGGCGTAGAAAATTAATGACATAAATTTCATATAACAATTTTGATACAATATTGAAACAGAATTGCCACATTAATTTTATTAAATTTGAACGATTTATTTTGTTCACTAGATTCAGTTTTGTTTATTTTCTGCAATAGTATAATGAAGGCCGCCATTTTGTATTATGTGAAAACACATCAAAGAAAATATCAATGGTAAGACAAGTATGTGTTTGTAAATCTGTTAATATAAAAAAGACATGTGGCTGATTTTATTTTAATTATCGAGTTTACCTGTATTGAGTTTGCAATAGTAAATATATACTGAAACACTACAACATCTTCATTAATGGCAAAAATTCCGAAAATCCACGTGATTCCGAGAACAGGAACAAGAGTACATACGCTCTTTAAGGCATTTCTTTAAAATAGGAAAATAAGAAAATGAACATACTTTTGTATATAGAAATATACATGTACTCCAAAACAGTGTTCTGTGAAGTTGGTTAATGTTCCTTAAAACTTAGAAATGAAAGAATGACTTGATATATTTGACTCTGCTTATTCTAAGAAATTCGTAACCGAGTAGGCCCTACCTGACTTTTTCTTTAAATTCAGCTTTCCTCATTTTAGTCGTCAGAAACATCACTCGAAGCAATGAGCCAATTATACAAACGTTAAGCTGTAAATAACGTAGAAAAAATAGGAAAACAACTTCATCAGTTAGATGTCAAATATATAGACAATATCTCTGATACCATTTGAAACACACCAGGAATATAAGAATAACAGGAACAATGAAGGCATAGATAGCTCCCGAGGACACTGACAACCAGCAGCTGTAAATATCAAAACAAGCTTCTGATGAAATATGGAGATAACGTACAGTATTCAAGCTCAAAGTCCATTAAAACAATACAAATCGGGAGCAGAGCAAACACGGACCTTCAAAAACATCAGAGGTGGGATCAGGTGCCATGGAGGAGTGAGCATCCCCTGCCGACCGGTCACACCCGCCGTGTGCTCCTTGTCATGATCGGGATATAACAGAAAAATCTGTAGACAATTCAGTGTGTAAATAATGACCTAGTAATTAGTTTGAAAAGTGTCAGTCAGCATTTGACTTAATGATAGATTGTATTTGCTGACAAGGTCATTGTATCGACCATAGAACTTACGAAATGATGACTTTAAACGAGACTGTCGATATTCTTGTTCCATCAACCTGTTAATAACTTACCTCGTTTTAGAAATTGTTCGTACGTAGAGCATGCTCTTGCGTATCGAATCAACTAAGAGAATTACACCCCATTTGCAGGTGATAAGGGTATATTGCTGCATAAATAAGGGAAGTGTACGATTGGAAAGTTAAAGTCATCACGTTTATCATAAAGCTTTGTTGCTAGATTACCATTAACGTCTTTTTCTAGTAAAATATCCAAATATGAAACAGATCTGTCAGAATATGTGGTATCTTTTCAAACTCACTGGGATATATCGTGAATTGAAATAACTATTGTTAATTTATCCAACGTCGTCGATATATCTAAATGTCGAGGCCATAACAAGAGATTTCTTTTTCTCGTGTATAAGATTTTGAATTAATTCTGCTTCATAGTAATACAAAAATAGGTCTGCTAACAACGGGGCGCAATTGATATTTTTTTTACATATGTGCCTGGCCATTTCTGTTTATATTGTACTAAGAATTTAAATATCATTAAACTTTCTTGTTCATGTAGGCGTCGGCACATAACGTATTAAAAATACATACAATTTCTCGGCGTGGTACTGTGTCTCCCAACAGCTTCCCAGAGTAGTAAGTACGATAACCAAAGGAATACCTGGAAAATTGGGACTTCTTGTTTATTGACCCAATTTCTTAGAAAAAAAAGTAATCAAATATTTCACCTTAACATATCAATACTTACAAGTAGTTGTCCCAAGAACCAATTTAAGCCTCGATCGTGAGTTAAATCTGTTGGTGATGGCCATGGCATAAAATAACACAGTGACGTTCATAAAGAAGTATAATCCTACTCCTAACATCAAAAAGAAGGTAAGCAGAAGGAAAAGGTGAAGGAAAAAGGTAACTGCAACACATGTAGCCTGTAATATTAAACATTAACAAATGATGAGCGTTAAATTTATGGAAAGGATATGTTTGATTTATGGGACTTTTAGGATTAGTTGTAAACATAGATGCCTAAGGATTATGAACATGGGTGTGTTAATGAGATATCTTTTTCACTTCTACATTTCATTTGAGTGAAAAAATCTCGAGAGGGACGTTAAACAACAAACAATCAATCAATCTACATTTCATTTGGGTTAATATCAAAGCAAAAGTCGATAATACATTTATTATAATCATGAAGGACATTTTACCTTATCTTGTGCTTTATCAACTCCAACCAGTAGTATGAGGTATGCAAGGAAGAGAGATAAACACAGACAGACTATCAACACATTCTTTTCACTTTTGATGTGTCTAAAATTAAAAAAGATATTAATGACTCACTAGCTCAATAATAACTACACAATGAAAACTTTATAAATGAATAGTACGTCCAGATTATTGCAAACCCTTTCCCCCATTTTATTAAGTATCATAAATCTAGACGCCCATTTCTTTGTCAACGTTGTACATGTTCAACAAACTTGGTATAACAACCGAAATTGCGATTATCATATTTACTGTCCAAAAGATTTAATGATACTAGCGATAATATTCAGAGAAGGTTAAAAACTAAAAAGTTGTGTCACTGATCTACATGTACATGTGTAGACAATCATAAACCTTTCAAATGATGGATGTAAATCTAAGTAAATCTTGAAAAATGGCAAAATGGTATAAAATACATGCTGACCCTATTTTTGACTCATATATCTAGGGTTTATCAAAAATATTGCTTAAACAGAGCAATTCTTACTAAAATATCTTAAACAGCGGTGTGAAAATGTTTCAAAGCACGTAACTTATTCATTAAAACTTTATTTCTGCATTTAACATTATTAAATTTTAATTCATCATCGAAAAATATTTTGATTCAATGTGTAGTATCACAATCTGTCCGTATACGTTTGCTTTGCAATCACGTAGACAAAATGAGTGCAAACGTAAGCTGGGGTATAAGGTATTTGATATATAAAAGCATCACTTAATATCAATACCAATAAAGTAGTTATAAAGAAGAAGATTATATTTAACGAATCAATTTTCTTGGAACATTACAAGATTAAAGATTAAAATTTGTGTACATGGCGACTTCAAAGAAAAATCAATTGATTATGAATTAGTGCACTTTTTATCAGAAGCATTATTTAATAATTGAAATTCATGTGATTTGAGCACTATTATGTTTGGAAAGACTATTTTCAAGATTTTCAAGGCAAATGTTTCAGTTAGGTAACTGGATAATTGACAGACGTATAATGATGGGTTTTCATGTTTAATTTTTGTTTGAGATAGATTTCCTTAAAGACAGGGTGATATTTATGTACATTTTATTTGTACTTATGTCCATATCCTGAATGTTTTCTTACTTCCAACTAATAATGAAGACAGCTACAGTAAGTAGACCAAACAGCATAGACATAACACAACCGACAATGGATATAACCACCAGGGCAGAGTCTTCTTTTTCCTGTTGAAAATAATATTAGATTAGGGGATTTGATATGCTGGAGTATCAAAATGTAATGAAATTAATTTATCAGTAAGGTATGATACAAATTAGCTGTCAAAAAATTTTGCATGAAAAATGCTGCACTAAGTTGAGTCTTCCTGTTCAGGAAGTTCAAAGTATGCAGACAAATCAAACAAGTAATACATGTGAAAAAAGAGGAATGTAAAACTACTAAAGGAACCAAAGAAGATACAGATGAATTTACCGGTGTATAAGGTCTCATTAGAACAGCAAAGTTTGTAGTGTGGTTACACAGACAGACCGTCACACCATTCTCTGTGGAATTCATAGAACATCCTTCTGTTGACCATCCTCCGGCATTGTTACTATAAAGTATTTTTTTAAAAGTAAATCAAATTACAAAAGAAACAATAAAATGAAAGCATTCTAATTTCTTACAAATTTGTTTATTGAAACAAATAAATTCTTCTAAAGTCAGATTCACGTACAATAAGGTGTAATCCCAGAAAACACATTTTGCTTCTCTTAATCTTTCCTAAAAATAGAAATGAGCAATGTTATTACACCTACTATGTCCCAAAATGAGATCAACGATATTAAATAGATATTAATGATGCGTAATAAAATACAAGGAATTTTTTTTTTCAAGTAGGTATTTCTTTACCTCATTGATTTTTAAAGGAACTATTAGAAATTCTAAGACATTGTTTACAAATGTGTACACATATGTTTCAATAAATTGTGCTCAGAGTCAATCTTTTCCATTGAGTAATTTATAATAACTGTTTAAATAGAAAGACATGTGACAGCTTTTGTTATTGTGAAATTCATTACTGGTACTTACTTTCTTGTGTTCAAACGTCAGCGTTAGAGGAGGTGAAAAAGGAAAGAAGGGCTTCTCCAGCGTTAATGCCAAAATCACCGAGTTGATAACCAGATCATTTTCTGGGCTATTTACAAACAAAATATATCATTGAATGAAAATGGTCCATTACTGATAACGTAACTGGCATCAATTAAATTTTATAAGAAACATCGTTGCAAACTGTGGATTTTGACAATAAATTCCAGTTCATGTAAGCATCCAAGTATGTGTAGATTTTTATTTTCATTCTTATACATACATTGTATGTAGTAACATTTAATTGACAAAAATTGGTAATGAAGCTTTATTTTCTTTATGGAAACTATCCAGCACTAATTAATTGCAGTGGCATTTCTTATTTATCTTAAGCGGAAGTTTTATGAAATACACAGATTTGTGTCATGTGTAGAAAATAACTCAAATAACACAAAACACAGAGTTCTTTGTTAATGTTATATATCATGACGAAAGCACATCTTGTAGGCCTGTTAATAACATACCCAAAGGCGCTGGTTCTAGATGGTAAAAATTGAGACATCGTCTTGTATAGAACAGCAGCATAATCGGTGCCTGAAAATATACATTACATGTACAGTGTATGTATTAAAAGTCCAAACTTTATTAATTTTAAATAAAATGAAGGAAAACATTTTCCTCAGAAATGTAAACCTTTGAGTCGTTTTAGTGTAGTGGTTGGTATAATAGCTTTTGTATATTTGATAGGAAATTTTAATTTTAGGAAAAATAAAAAAGAAATACTTTCTCAAATACCTTGAAAATGTCCTTGTTTTGGAAGAACGAAAAATGAACCATTTTCCAAAAATCTTAGTCCTGATTCCTTCAATGTAACATTGTTGATATTGACAACTGTAAAACAAGATGTAATAAATCTAATAAATTTGTCTGACATTATGATATATTTCCTTCTTATAAAATAGTTTTCTCTGCAGAAGTTGGTTTTAAACCCTTATCCTGATTATAAATTTTATAAAATGTTCCATTTTCGTACAGAAATCATTTCATTCGGATGAGTAAATATGCATTTTAGGAATAGCATGAAAATGAAATAGTTGAAGATAACGAACAGTGATTTAAAAAACCTACAAACAATACAAATTTCGGAACAGGGAATGAGGAGACACATTGAATATCAACAAGATGACAATGGTCAAAGTATTTTAGAATTCAAAATTCCATTAGAGCTGAAAACAACTCTTGAATAGACATACACCATATTATTAGTCCTATATCCAATCAGCACTGGGGTATATAACCCCTTCCCATTCGTACCTGATTGCTTTTAACTTGTCGATGCTGCGTGTAGTACAGATATATCTTACATTGTCCCTTTTGATTACGTTTAATTTTACTGAACGTGCATTTGTGTTTATTTCACTTTGTAACATTGACCTCAGCAATTGATATCGAACATATTGGTAACTTTTTTCTGACATGGCAGCGGCATACCGAAGTCATTTTTGTCTCGCCCAAATATGTCACAATGACAATGAAGGAGACATCCTCTCAGGTGGAGTCCGTGAAGCAAAATACATTGAACTCTGAACAAAGCTGAGGCTTACATACGGACTGGAGAATGACGGTTTTGAGGAGACTAATAAGGCGAACAAAGATAACTCTCTTCCTTTGAAGAATCGTCATCAGCTTTAATTAAGGATCTTGTGGCAAGATTAGTCTTCAAACTGCATTCGGTGAAATTTTATCGTCATGTACCACATACAAAATTTCAAGATATAGCTTGAATTCGTTTCTTTAATTACAACTTTTTAAAATTTCAGAGGTTTCATTTTCAAAATATTCCACGGCGTTTTATTCGGTTAGCAAAGCATTACTAAATCATGTTCATATATGTGATATTTTGTGTGTGAGAAATATCTGATTAATGATATCAATTGCAAACTAAATGTTTTAATTACGATGCCCTATGTTAAGAGTTAAGCGACCAATGAATAACTGACCACTATTAAACAATATCCAAGGTTTAAAAACCTTTCTTAACACTTTGTTTCCCATTCATATTTTAAGAGGTCCGCCCTTGCTCTGCTCCCGATTTTTTATTGTTTCAATGGAGTTCTGAGCTTGATTCTGTTCGTTATCTCCATGTGCAATTTGTAGTATAAAAAAATGATTTACGCAATGTGAGAGTGAATAGATATATAATCAAAATATAGACAAGTAATTTTACTTTAAAATCAAAAATAAAATCACCTACTGATGTTTTCTCCTCTGAATTCCACAGATTTTGACTCATTTAAAAGTAGTAAATTCATCCGATCCATTGTTTCTAAAACCGAAATTGGTCCACGCTGTGTCTGAAGTAACATTTATTAGAAATGTGTTGAGGTACTATATTGCATAATTCATTTCTTATTATCTATTAATTTTATTTTCAAAACATTAACAACTCAAATCTATGAAATTCTGAGACATACCTCTTCTTCAACAAGCTTCCATGATTCCTTATTGTTCGTCACTGCAATATTGTCCAGAATGTTATACACAACCTTGAATCATAATAACTCATTAGGATGGATTCTTCTCATATTTTTTGTATTTAAAAATTAATCAAATTGTCGTAGAAGACACTATCATTAAGTGATGATATCAATAAAATTAAACTTGACTGTTTTATTTTTGAAGCAAGGTCAGGTCAAGATCATTGTCTTTTTCCTTGATATATTTCAAGATTAAATGTTTTTTTTTCTTTTTGCATAAAAAGGTGTAACAATATAGAGTCTATCAGATGATACTACCAAATTGATATAAATAATTTAACTAAAAAAGATATTGGCTTATCCAAATGTTCCCTCTATTTTTCTTAAATGTTTAAGATATATATTAGTTATTTTTTAAATGCGTCGTTTATTCAAACTTTTCTGATTTTCACATATGGTAAAACAGTCATATAAAGATACAAATTGATACAAAAACAAAAAGTTTTGACAATTTACTACGAGATCTGTACTTAGATTGGAAAGTTTTAAAAGCTAACAAAATTTTAGTTTGTTTGGAAAATCATATTAATTTGATATTTTAAAACTTCAATGCATTATAATTAATTTCAATTACATTTGAAAATTTCTTTAAACTTTTGAATGTTTAAATGCTTAATTCAGCATTCTCTTGTAATATTGAGAAGCCGAAAGGGAGAAATTTTCATTCCGCCAAAAATATAGTCCCTGCTAGATTTCAAACTCTGTTTACCATTTCTATTTAAAGTTGTACAATTATGATGAGGAAAGAAAAGTATTATCTTTTAAATCTCTTACATCTAAATATATCAGGAATATAAGCAAATATACTTTGATTATTCCATCTAGTTAGAAACAAGACAAGAATCCCTCCTTACTTTCATAACATGCCAAATTATCATTATATATACAGTTTTATGAATTTATTATAGTTTCACATACATATTATTTAGTTTACTTACTTTCTCTGGTAAAGAAGCGTTGCTTCCTGACGCTATATTGAGAACGGTATTAAGGATATTTATAGAGACCAGTAGATTTCCTGAAGAGATACCAGTCTTAGAAGCAGTTAAATTTTCTGTTGTGCCTAAGGAACTTTCAAATATTTCTTCAATATACTTTTTATCAACAATTCCTTCGTTTTCAAGGATCTGAAGCTGAAATATATATATATATATATATATATATATATATATATATATATATATATATATATATATATATATATATATATATATATATATATATATATATATATATATATATATATATGGGGGTGAGGTGAGGGTGTGTATTTATATACACCAAAGATTAACAAATTAACAGAAAAACATAATCAGGGCTCTTTTTGTTAAATCTCAATTTGTCATATGGTTAAATTAATCAAACCTCTTTGAAGGCATTGAAAAGTCCTACATCCACACAGTTCAATACACTTGTTTTCTTCCAAGTGCCATTATAATCACAATATCTACTAGCATTTCCTATTGAAGAAGAAATACATTATCTTAATTTTCAATAAAAGGTACAAAAGTTATCTCCATGTTATTCATTATTACAGTTTTTTGTGCAAAGAAAGTCTAACATGTACCTTGTTGACCATCTTGGCACTCGGAATGTATCAACGTTCCAGGAAATGATGTTGGCCATAGAATTCCGTAGATATCCTTTGAGGAAGTACAAACAGTTTGCCCTGAAATGAAGTAGTATTATAAATAAAATAGGTAAATCGACTACCTCCATCTCATCAACAAAAAAAGGTTTCCCGAAATATTCTCACCCTGGTTATAAACGTCCACCATTACATTCATCACTCCGGAAACCCGATATCTGTCATGGTTACAGGTATAGGTGCCTTGGTCACTTTTCTGAACCGAATGGATCTGAAGTATTCTAGAGGAACGATGTGTCATGACAGTAATCAGAGAGTTTCCTATTAAAATATTGGGAACACTTATTACATTATAATTGTGCAAACTGAAATTGCTATTTAATGTAAAAAGCACTTTGCCATTTTGCAAGATTTTCTTTTATGAAATTCTAATTAGATAATACTTTTTCTAGATATGATGATTTAAAATAACATTGAACCTATCAGTGCCTTGCGTTTTACCTTCTCTTAGTCTAATGCCGTCTTTGTACCACTTCAACAGAGAAACGTTTATTGGAAACCCCTCAAAAGCTTCCAGATTTGTTATATTACAAGTAAGATCTAGAGAACTTCCTGTTTGAATTGCTACTCGGTAGTGCGGTAAAATCTCTAGGTGAATTCCTGGCTTCACTGTGAAGAAAATAATATATAGAAAATGATACAAAAACAATATTTCAAAACATGTATTATGTACATATGTTCTTGAATATGTAGAAAGTTAGTGCAATAAATTTTACATTTTAGTTCCTTACATATAATACTTGCCCTTTATATCAAAGTTGGTGGTAGCTTCCGAATTATTGTTTGAGACTCTGACGGTCCAGCTGGCTGCAAAGCAATCAAAATCAAAGTTGTCTAGAATGTTGAATATTCAATCAACTTCTCGTGTACATAATAGTTATCGTTCTTCTGTTGAATTCATACTGTTAACATATTGGCATGAAATGTATACAAAATTTCAGTCAAAAGAAAGATTCTTTCATTTCATCGTTACCTTCATCTTGAAGATTTAACTCTAAGATTGTAAGTGAGCACTTCATCACATTTATAAACGATTGGCGGATCAAGTATCTACCAGAGGACTGTGTGACGTAAGTTCCGTTTCTGAACCATTTCACTTCAAATTCAAAGATGACATTAATGTCCACTGACATGGTAAGTGCAGTGCCTTCAACTTCATGTGTGGAAGGAATCACTTCCCTTTTGGATATATTGATGATTTCTGTTAATATGAATAAGAAACAGGATTACAAAGGATAAAGGAATATTGCTACACCAGGAAAAGCTAAATGTAAACAGAAAACGAAGATCACTCAGACCCTGGTCAAGATCAAGCCAGTTTGGTTGTCGCAAGGAATATGCAAACAAAATTTTAAAGGCATTTCCCTTATTTCATGCTGAATAAAATATTTTATTGCACATAAACGTTGAAATAAAAATAACAGGATCCTCCATTTTAAAAAAAATAAAATTTAAACATCATCTTGAGTGCATAACTACCTCCTGCCTTTTCGATAGGTTTTCGAATTGTCTGAAAATTGTCTCAGATTTAAAAATATATGTGTTAAGAGATATATTTAGCAACAAATTTATATCTATTTCGTTGAAAATATGACCGATACAATGACTTTGGCATCAAATACAATCCGTCCTTAAGTAAAATGCTGAATGACGTTTTTCATACGAACTGTTAGGCAATTATTTACACACTGAATTGTCTATGAATTTTTTCGTTTTTCCAGATCATGACAAGAAGCACACAGCGGATGTGACTGGTCGGCAGGGGATGCTTACTCCTTTATGGCACCACTGATGGTTTTGGAGGTCTGTGTTTGCTCTGCTCTCGATTTGAATTGTCTAATGGACTTCCAGCTTGAATACTGCTCGTTATCTCCATATTTCATTTATGTAATTATATTCCACTATCACTTGCATATCAATTTTTAATACAAAGTATGCTACTTAAGGACAAGGTGATGTTACAAGGGCGTTTTAAGTCAGCATTTCGTAAAATCTATGGTCGTTATAATGACCTTTTAGCAAATATAATCTATCATTTGGTCGTATTCCGACTGAAATATTTAAAAAAAAATTGTTAGGCCTTTGTTTTTATACTTAACTTGATTAAGGATTATTGTGTCTACCTGATCAATGCATAGGACTTATGGCGGGTGTGACCAGTCGACAGGGGATGCTTACTCCTCCTAGGCACCTAATCCCACCTCTGTCTTAATGCCTGTTTATAGACCATAGACTTGTATTGTTTATGAGGGTCATTTTTAGATCGATCACTGTTCGTTTTCTTAACCTTTTCATTACATATTCTTAAGTGTATTGCAGAATAAAAAAAACTTTACCTGGCAATGGATTTGGTCGATCAAATCGCCATAAAGATGAGGTAGGGATTCCAAAACGGAAATCAATTCCAATCAGGAACGAATTTTCAACCGGAGTTAAATTAGTGAAATCGCTGATGATGGTATTATTTCCAACGATTTTACCCTGTCCTATTTGCAGGCTTGTATTTCTTCCCCAGGAAATCCAAAATTCACTGAATTCGGTACAATTTAAAAGTTTGCCGTTATATACATCAGAAATACAGTCGGAGATGTTACCTAAATTCATGTCAAACCTGATGCAGGAGATATATAAAATTCCCTCTGTTATAGGGTTGTCTATCCCAATCTGCATAAATGCCCCATCCGTTGTTTTGAACCAAATAATCGCACGTTCACAGATCTTGACAGAGAATGTTAAGTAGTTGTACCCTCGAACGGGTAAATTGTGATCCCACAGTCCATGAAAAGCCTCGAAGGAATTCCTTGGAGTGAGGCATATCTCCACGAAATCTTCATATAAAAACAATGTTTTATTAGTTCCCCAAATGTATTGGATTGAAAATCAAAATCCAAGAAATCACAATTTTTACAAGAAGTAGCATCGAGAACGTAAGGAAATTGTGCTCTTTTATATATATATATATATATATATATATATATATATATATATATATATATATATATATATATATATATATATATATATATATATATATATATATATATATATATATATATATATTAAACCGATGGTTAGTATTATACATGTACTTAAAAGGCAAGAATGATTTATACATTGTAAATAGCAAAATATTTGAGATTTATTTATATATTCATAAGGCTTTCGAAAACGCTTACGAAATATACATGAATACTAATTTACATCATAAAAATTATTGAGATGCAATTACGTCTACATTGAATACATTATTAAAGAACCTACCAGTCCTTGAATTATAGCCAAAAAATTTCCAACTTCTGTCAATATCAGTTTGAATCGATGAGAAATTAACAATCATAGGATTGTACATTCGATAATCCATTATGACGTCTTCTCCTTGTATTCTTCCGCGTCCCACCTTAAGTGCATCAAACCAAGAAATCCAGAAACTTTGAAAATTTCCGCTATTTAGATTTATACCATCGTATCTCTCCAAACATGGTTCTGATACATTTGTCTTTCTTATGCAAGAATGAGGGGAAAAGTAATTTGAATAAAATGTAATGAAAAAACCTTGTCCAGATGTCGACAGCAGTTCAATCATAACTAAATTATGCAATTCTAATGAAATATAATTTGAGGCTTTCACTGAAAAAATCAAGAATTTTTCTTCGGGGTTGATAATTCCATATTCAGACAGGTCCTTTGAAATTAAAGATTGACTGCAAATCTCAACGCTTTCTTTATCTACAACAATAACGTTAATTAATATTTAGTGTGTGTATGCAAACGAAAGGGGAAAATAAGAATCGTCTGATAAATTCAACAAGAAGCTCATTGGCCTTAACGGTCAGCTGAGTGTCACTATGCTATATTTTTGTCTGTGCAACATTTGGGGGTTTTTTTTCTTGCTTTCTCCTTCGTAAACTTGAGAACCTTGGTTTATTACCTCTTGGACCAATGAACGATGATTCCGATTTAGAACTAAACAATATGACTTTATGTTTCAGTGTATAGAACATTTTCATAATTATTCGATTATTAAATGCTTTGTTTTCCGGATATTTGTTTTAATACTTTTACAATAAGATGTAAAGAAGTAATCCCTCCCACATACACCCTCTCACTGGCCTGATTATATACACTAAATAATATATACATTATATATATTATATATAATATGATAATATGAGCTCTATTCTGCATCCTTGAAATAAATATATTTTTTTTTACAAATGTTCCCTTCATATTTCTTTGTAAAAACTTGGACCATACATTAATTTTCTCATGTACATGTATATAAATTTGAGACTCTTGTCATGAGAATGCTTGTATTAACATTTGACTACTTTTGTAAAGTCTCATAGTGTTTAACTAGAAGAGTTTTATAAATTTCTATGTTCTGGATTTGAACCCTTCTTATTACACCATCCCTGTTATGAATTGAACAGAAGTTTAAGGCACGACTTCCATACATTTCAATGTAAAACTCTAGATGCGTTTAAAGTCTCAATACTATCCGGAGTTCAAAGGTGAAACAAATTTGATTTTACGACATGAAAATACTTTGATGTAAGTTAGATAATATGCTGCCTTGTAGTTCTTATAAAGAAAAGTTTTTCATGATTTACCCCATCTATTTTTAAGAAAGAGTTTCTATTCCTCGTTGTGTTCACTGTTCATTATCATCACCTTTTTCATTTGACCCAGGTCCATACCTGTCTCAAAGCAACAATTTTATCAAATTTGATTTATCTATGAATAAATGCATACAAGTTTTGGACAATCTGTAGCTTTGTTGCTCTTGAAAGGATCCGGAAGATTTCACAATATATATTCATGGGTCTCGATTTATTCAAATATTGATTTCAACTACATGAGGATTCTTGCATATAAATTTAAAATGTAAGTCTTGTTCTGAAAAAAAATTTTAGGAATTTTTTTGCCTAAAAGTTCTGTGTTAATTAGGTCTTCCGTTTTCAACGGAAGACCTATAGTGATTCTACTGTTTCTTAATATTATTATTATTTTTTTGACTTTCTAATTTTGTGCACGCGATTTCTCGAAGACTATTCGATGGATTTACATGAAATTTTCAGGAAAAGTGTGTTGTAACATGAACTTGATCTATTTGAGAGATTTTTTGGAAATTCACCTCCGGTGCCAAGTTACAGACCATTTTCTGATTTCAAAATGACATTTTGTCCGCGAATAATCTCAAGAACGACAAGAGATATCAATGTGAAACTTTCAGGGATTATAGTTCGTGATAGGTACTAGCCGGGTCGCTACTTTTTGTTCGTCGTCGGCACTTCCGGTCGTCTACGGAAGTGATCAAAGAAATCGTAAAATTTCAAGTTTCTTTTTTTAAATCAATACTTACATCACATTATTGCATCTCTTTTGTAGTTTCGAAATATGTTGGTCCCACCGGAAACAAAAACGTCAACTTCCGGTTATAAGAGAAAAACTACATAATTTGAGTATTTTTCTTTCCCATTAATATCTTTTGTAGATAAAGTATTTGAAATGAATTTTAAATATGTTATTCAGACTAAAAATGTCTAGAGTAACGTTGAAAATCTTTGTAAAATTCACTTCCGGTCGCGTGTTTTCCTGTCCTCAAAATGAGAAGTTGTGTGAGCAAGATCTCGGAAACGGTAAGAGATTATGACACCAAACTTTTATGAGCAACAGACCTTAAGATGTAGGCAAAACCATTTGGGTTAAGAGCGTCAGTCGTCACTTCCGGTCGTCACAGGAAGTGATCAAAGAAAACGAAAATTTCAACTTTTCTTTTTTTTAATTGAAAATTGCATCACTTTATTGCATCTTTTTCGCAGATTCGAAAGATGTTCGTCCCACCGGAAACAAATACGACAACTTCCGGTTAGAAGAGAAAAACTAAATAATTTGAGTTTTTTAATTTCCCGTAAATATTCTGTTTAGATAAAGAAATTAAAATGAATTTTAAATGTGCTATTCAGAGTGCAAATGTCTAGAGTAACCTTAAATAGTTTTTCAAAAATTCACTTCCGGTCGCGTGTTTTCCTGTCCTCAAAATGAGAAGTTGTCTTAGAGAGATCTCAAAAACAGGTAAAAGATTAAAACACCAAAATTTTAAGAGTAATGGACGTTGAGGGGTAGGTGAAACCATTTGGGTGAAACGCGTCAGTCGTCACTTCCGCTTCTCACAGGAAGTGATCAAAGAAATCAAAAATTTTAGCTTTTCTTTTTAAATTAAAACTTACATGACTTTATAGCATCTCTTTTGCTGTTTTGAAATATGTTAGATTCCACCGGAAACAAAAACGTCAACTTCCGGTTTTAGGAGATAAACTACGTTATTCTTGTATTTAACTTTCTCATAAATATCGCTTATCGATAAAGTACCTGAAATGATTTTATGCATGTTGCAGATACCAAATGTCTAGAGAAAAGTCAGAGATTTTTATAAAATTCACTTCCGGTTGTATGTTTACCTGTTCTCAAAATTAGAATTTAGTCCCACAATATTGTTCGACAACAGTAAACGACTGAGGACTAAAACTTCAGGACTGATCAGTCATCAGTTTATTTGAATCGTGAGAAAATCTTGCATCGCCGTTACTTCCGGTCGTGAAAGGAAGTGATGTAAAAAAGTGAATGGTTAATGGTTAGCACATTGGGTTTTCACGCTGACGATTAGGGTTAAATCTCCAGAGTGTCTGAATTTCTTTTATCACTTTTTCAGCTTGAATTTTCGTTTTTATTTTCAGAATCGGACGGAAGACCTCTCATTGCTCGCAATGAGTTTCTAGTTTTTGTACCGATTTGTTGTATGTCCCGTATCATGAAGTGAACAAACGAAGCTACTTTTTAAGGGGATACCCACAGACACATTCCACAATTTGTAGCCTGACAAGATTTTAAAAGACATTTCCTATATATATATATCAATGTAAAACTGTAGACATCCTTTATATGGTCCCATTCCGGTCCAACGGTCTGGACATAATTTTGGATCCGCACTACCTATGAAAAGCCTTTCAAATAATTCACTTAGTAGTTTCACCGAAAAAGACGTCATCCGCGTGGCCCAGTGGTTAGAGCATTTGCACTAGAGTTGCGGAGTAAGGACTTGATCCTCACGTCGCGGGTTCGAATCCCACTTCGAGACCTGGAGACTGGTCTTTCGGATGAAACAGTATAAATCGAGGTCCCGTGTCGCAGTAGGTGTTGGCACGAAAAAGATCCTTCACTGTTCAATGGCCCTGAGTGCCGAATATAGGTCTCAATTTGTAGTCCTCCACTGGCATGTGGTGGCGTCTCCATATGAGTGAAAAATTCTCGAGAGGGACGTTAACAACAAACAAATCAACGAAAAAGACTTTTAATGACCCTACCCTATTCGCACTATTCCATAACCATTTCCCCCTGAAAACATATCCTTTATTTGTCCCCTACTGACGAAACCTACTGGTTTCCTTCTCGCCTGTCCGTCTGTCTGTCCCTCTGACTGTCTGTCAGTCTGTCCCACTCAGTTTTCCAGATTTGTTTTCTTTACACTTACAGTTATTGAGCAGATTTTTGCCATGTGAATGTACCTTGATGAGTTACAGAATAAGTATGCATTTCCATCCGTTTCGGTGATTTTTGACGGAATTGCCACCTTTTTTAAATACTATAGGGAAACCAGATTTCCCTCTCGTTTTCCGCACTTTTTCCCTAAACGCTTCCAGAGATTGAGCTGATTTTTAGTCCCCTACCGGTGAAACCGGAGGGGACTATAGGTTTCCTCTGAGTCTGTCCGTCCGTCTGTCCGTCTGTCTGTCTGTCTGTCTGTCCCTCTGTCTGTCTGTCAGTCTGTCCCACTTGGTTTTCCGCACTTTTCTTCTAAACGCTTGCAGATATTGAGCTGATTTTTGGTATGCGAGTGCATCTTGATGAGATACAGATCAACTTTACATTTCGTTCCGCTTCATTGATTTTTTGACGGAATTACGGCCTTTTCAATTTTTAGGGGTTTCCCGCAATTTTCTTCTAAACGCTTTCAGATATTTAGCTGATTTTTGGTAAGTGACTTTACCTTCATTAGTTATAGATCAAGTTTGCATTTCGTCCCGCTTCATTGATTTTTGACGGATTTATGGCATTTTCAATTCTTAACGTGAACCAGATTACACTTGCCGGTAGGGGACTAGTATTGCTAATGCAATACTCTCAGAATGCTTGTTTGTTTGTGCGTCTACCTTAATGAGTTATAGATAAAGTTTGCAATTTGTTTTGCTTCAATGATTGTTGATAGATTTATGCCCTTCATAATTTTTATGGGGAACCAAATTACATGTGCTGGTTGGGGACTAGTATTGCAATACTCTTAGAATATATGTTTGAATTAATCTAACTTCCCATAACCTACGAATGTTTTATAGCACATCTGGTTCTAAGAAAAAAAGTGGAAAGTTTAGGGATTACTCACAATGAAAAAAAAATATCTGAATGTCTCAGCTGGCATAAAAATCATTAGAGAGCCTAAGTAAAATACCCGTAAAATAGACCAGTGAAAAGCCATGGTGTCCAGCGTGTGAGGCTGGATTGGTGTAATTCACAGTAATCTTTTCTCCGGGGTACACCAAAGTCTTGGAATCGTCTAATACAGATGAACTTGTAAACACAGAAAGCATCCGAGCTGAAAAAAGTGAAAAGGTTTGATATTCATGTGTATATCCATATGTTAATTCGCTTTTATTCCTGTTACTTTTTTCCCCATAAATTTTAATTTATCAAACAAAGAGGAAAAGGATTTGTGATAAAACTTATAGAAAGAAAAAAGGTGGCAATGGTGCTACCTAAATTTGTGAAACAAGATTTGTAATATTTCACATTAAATTATTGAATGATAGCTTTATTCATTACAGATTCTTTTCACTTTAGATTCATGATATTGGGATATGTAACAACTCGTCACACGTAGAGTTTATATGTGACCATTAATGTAAATGCGAATAAATACATGCATTTCAAAAAGTTTGAAAAATATTTAGAAAACGAGCGCCAAAGGTGTAAAGATCGTTTATATTAGATAAACAATTTAAGAATATTCAAAGTCACTACTCATAGGAATGATAATACATTTTCCCGCCATTATAAATTTCCCCAGCTTCCATCCGTAGCTTTTCAAAACTAGAAGGTTAGTTATTGCTTTGACAGCAAATTCACAACACGATGCAGCCTTACTTAGATATATTTTAACCCAGTGCCCGTTTGAATAAATGAAGAAAAAAATTACTGGGCTTTTAATATATATATACTATTCTTGGTACAGTAAAAAATACTTAAATAAATAAAAACAGAATGCTACAGTCCAAATTATATAAAATCTAATATAAATAATATATAAAATTATAAAAAATCTTTACTGTTAGCGCTTTCAGCCATGCTGGCTCTTCAGACAGTTATGAAAACTTATATATATATATATATATATATATATATATATATATATATATATATATATATATATATATATATATATATATATATATATATATATATATATATATATATATATTAAGTGTGTGTGTGAGGGTGTATATGTGTGTGATAAAAAATAATTTTACTTTAATAATGTCTGCAAAAGTTACCAAAGTTCCAGATTTGAAGTTCTCCACCATTGCTGATGTTGAGGTATCTTAACTGTACATATATATTAGATTCCTTTGCTGTGGCTACTATAGTCCATACACACGATGATGCTCTGCATGGAAAATTATATTACATAATAGTAAACACAAACAAGAACACTCCAGCAAATCGGATTACAGCTGCAATATATTAAACATTTTATAACAAACCTAGCCATATACACAATTAAATAAAAGGTGATCCCAAACAAAAACCTAAGAGAGTGACAGAATAATTGATAAGAGAATGTAAAACTTAAGAGATTACCATAGGAATTACAGAGATTTAAGATTAATTTAATGCTTACTTCTGAAGCGGAAAGTCTGGGGATGTTAGGGTTTGCTTTTGAGATGAAGCCATTAATGGAACTCCTTCTGGATCACAGACACTTTCTACTGCAAAAGTAAAAAAAAGATACAAGAAAGGTACAAAAATATTCCTTTATATTATCACATTTTGAAAGTTACAGATTAAAATAAATAAAATGTATATTAAGACTGATCGTGCTTTAGAATGTTTGTTTCTTTGTTTAACGTCCGTTCAAGAATTTTTCACCCATACTGAGATGCCACTACTCGTGGGTAGAAGGCTGCAAATTTAGACCTGTACTCGACACTTACGGCCTTTGAGCTGTGAGGGATCTTTTTCGTGCCAAAACCTACTGCGACACGGGACCTCGGTTTATACGGTCTTATCCGAAGGACCAGTCTCCACATCCTGCAGTTTGATTCGTACCCGTGACATTAGAATCAACTCCTTACTCTGTGACTCTAGAGCAAAGACTTTAACCACTGCGCCGCGCGGGCGACTGCTTTAGAATGAAAAATATTGACTAAAATGATTCAATCAAATATTGTTTTATTTAGACAACAGAGGAAACAAGCATCCTAAGATGCCATATGAAAATTTACAATTTTGCACCTTTAAGGGCATATTTGTATATTTCTAACAGAGGTTTGGACTTTTGTTGATTATATATTACGTTTTCCATTTGTAAAACACTTTTATGAATGAAATACATATTTAGAACACTGTCGCTCCTTTTTGTGGAAAACACAAATTAAACATATAGCAGTATACCTTTGTAGTGGGACGCTGGTATCTCACTATGCATTAGAGAATGTTTAAGTCATTATCTACCTTTCAATTCGGTTGCGAAAAGTCTTAATTGAAATCCCTGTTCGCTCCCAAGCTTAGTGATGGAATTCGTCGTAAATAACACATTTAGTTCCAAAGATTCAACTACATAATTTCCAGAATTCACTTGGCAGGAAATATTTTCCAATGGGGTTTCTCCTGAAATTGATAAGGGGAAAACATTTTTAAGTATACCTATTACACGTATACATTTATACACCATATTTTGTTCCTCTATAAACAAAACTCGTGAGAACAAAAGAAAAAAAGAAGAGAATCAGGATGTGTCAAACTTATTCTGAAAGCACCAACATGTTGTTAATTACATTCCATTCAAAAGGTGGTAACACAATTTGAAGTAAATTTTATATTCACATGCATGAAGATACTTAGGTGCCGGTATTCTTTAGAACGAAAGAACTACAGTCAGTCTTAGGCTAAAAGATATAAATGTCATAAACAACAATGCTCAAAATTTTAGGCCTGATATCAAGCATTATAATACTACATGTATAAATCAAAATTATTGACTCTGTTGTTTAACGTATCTCATATAATTCATGAAAATTGTGAGAGATGTAAACTCAATTTTTTTTATTTCAATGCTTACCTGGAAATGCCCTCAAATCATCGTTACACAATAAATCAAAATCTATGACAATCTTGTACCCACTTGGTGGTAAAATTTTCCAAGCACAGGTTAAATTTCTAAAATTTAAACAAAAGTGACATAATTATAGAAACAATAGGTCCAGGGTTTCCACGCTCACCTAAGTCACCTTTGACCTGCTGTACTTCAAAATACTTTGTTCTCTTTATTGTCAAGAAAAATTTTAACCGGATATTTTGCCCTATCGTAAGCCAAAAGGGTCACGAAATAAACAAACTTGAATTGAGATAACATTTGGATGCTTCGATACCAGTCTGAACTAACATGACATTCCATTCTGGAGAAAACGTTTAAAGTCATCATTTTGCAAGTTCTGTGGTCGGTACAATGACTTTGCCAACAAGTAAAATATATCATTAAGTCGAATGATGAATGACGTTTTTCATACTTACTGTTAGACCAATATTTACACTTTGAATTGTCTACGGATGTTTCCGTTTGTTCGATCACGATAATGAGCACACGGCAGGTTTGACCGATCGACAAGGGATGATTACTTTTCCATGGGACCTGATGCAACCTCTGATGTTTTTAGAGGTCAGATTTGTTTTGTTTCAATGGAATTTTGAGCTCGATTGCTGTTCGTTATTTCCATTTATCATGTAAAACTTTGATCCTCAATCGTGGCCCCACCCAACCTTGGGGGCATGATTTGAACAAACTATCTAAAGGTATTTGCATTTTATTTTGACTTATCATTTACTTTTGGGGATGCTTACACCTCCATGGCACCTGATCCCAACTCTGATGATTTTAGAGTCCGTGTTTGCTTTTCTCCAAATTTGTATTGTTTCAATGAACTTTTGAGCTTGATCACTGTTCATTATCTCCATATATCATTTAAAACTTTAATCCTCAATCGTGGCCCCACCCTACCTTGAGGGCATGAATTTAAATTTCTGAAGATATTTGCATTTTATTTTCACTTATCATTTACTATTGGGATGCTTACTCCTCCATGGCACCTAATCCCAACTCTGATGATTTTAGAGTCCGTATTTGCTCTGCTCCCAATTTGTACTGTTTCAATGGACTTTTGAGCTTGATTACTGTTCGTTGTCTTCATATTTCATTTATATATTTTTCCTTCTTTGCTTATTTGCTTATATTCTCATGTAAAACTTTGTTCCCCTATTCTGTCTTCTGCCTACTAAAGGAGGCTAAGATTTGAACAAACCTAAATCTGCACTGCATGATGATGCTTGCATGTATTAACATGGTTAATTAGGGTTGTGCTGATTTTTTGCAGATTATTTACAAAGAGCAAGGTTCACATAGGGAATTTTTGGCCCTGTGAATTTCTGAAAAATCAGAATTGCTCACTTTTAGTTGACAATATCTCTATTTTATATTTACGTTTGAAATGGGGCACAGGGTTTTGTCAATCAATTCGTATATGGGCGGAACCATTTTATGTTTAAAATGAACCTAGCTCTTTTTTCCTTATAAAGTCCATTGTTAAACTTTGATCCACTTTTGTCGCCCTATCCTTCTCCCGTGGGCCATATTCTAACTAAAATAAATCAGGATGCTTTCACATTAATATCTGATTAATCTTATTTATCTAATATGGTTCTTGGGAAGAATAGTTTTAAATGATCCACCGTATGTTTTTTTTTTTTTTCTATTTTTGATCATTTCGATCAACTTGAAAAGGTAAGTGGAATTCGATGTTCCCAAAGGACACTTTGTTCTAATTTTGATTGAAACTGGCGTATAAGTTATGAAGAAGAGAATAAAAATGTGAAAACTATGACAACGACAGATAAAGTTTTGATTAGAAAATCTCACTTGATATTTTGGCTCAGGCGAGGCCTGAGGCAAGACATTTTGGCTCATTTAAAATGTAATATAAGTTCACTCAATTATATTTCCATATACCGGTATCAATCTTGATGGGATTCCCAAAACCTTCGCGATATTTCGTTTTGTACTTGAATATACAATATAATGCTGAAACAACTAGCTTTCTTCTTGTACATCAGTATGTGTGAATTTTATCACAAGATATTTCACTCACTTTTCATAAGGGGGAAATAGGAATGGCTGTAGTAGGTCGTAAAATGGGGGAAAACTGATCAAGGTGAGTTTGTTTGGTTCCAGTTGGACGATGTTTGGTTTGCCTTCAAAATTTATTAGTTTTGCTACAAAATAAAGTAAACGTATGTCATTCATAAATCTAGCTCTATTGAAAGAAGAAGGTACAGTTTATTTACAAATCTGGCCCTGTAATTTTATTTTTGTAAATTTAAGGATTGTTGACATTGTTGACATGGATTGTCTGAATTGTTCAAACTCCATGTATAAGATCCTAAAAATCGTTTTTCTTATTATATCATCCTAAATGCCAATTGTGACGTCGTGAACTTGTACACTTTTCCGTATTTTCTTAAAAAGTTGCTGAAGATATTAATTTTAGTGGAATTTTCTCTCAGACAATATAGACCACATGCATCGCTCACAAAGATTTCTTAGAAATGTGATTTCTCTCAGATTTTTACACAACATATCCGAAAATTGAAGTGGGCGACGGCTGTGAACACTATTTAACCCCTAAAATGAGTCATTTTGAGGCTTTTTCTGTTTTAAACTTAGAGATGTAACAATTAACGACATCATTTTTCAAAAAACGTCCTCCTTTATGACAAATTCTTTCATGATTTATCAAATTCATATTTTCGACTTATATTTAAGCAAAATTCAAAACCTTTAAAAACATTTATGTCTGGGGCATTAAGCCAAAAACCGTACCTTCTTCCTTAGTATAATGAACTTGGCAGTTTGGGGTTTCTTATTTGTACTGTGTTTTGGTTAACTTATTTTCTCTACAGTCTGTTACATTGTAAACTTAGATGTTCCTTTTAAATTGCCTAAGATATCTGCGTTCATACTAACAATGATATGTACAAAAAATTGTTAAACCCAATTTTTTTTCTTGCGAAACTTAATTCGATACTTCTTTTGAATAATGACCATGCTAAAAAAAAATGAGGTGATTATGAATATGATGACACCGACAGAAAGGATCCAGTAACTTTAATCTGGTATCTGAAGATAATCATATTACTAAATACCATTTTAGTCATTTGGTCGATTCTGAGAAACACAGATAAAAATGTATTTAAAGAATTAGTTTTGAATTTCTTATCATAAATTTCAATAACAAACATACAAACAACAATAAGTTGCATAAAATTAATAAAAGAATTGCAGAAGGATACTAATAATGTGATGAAATAGATTGCATCTGGTGTTTGATGTTATTAAGAGTCATACATTACAATAAAAATTACATACCTGGCTTCTCACAAATAAAGGGATTGGGGTCTTCACAGGACTGGTCTGACCAATTAAATCCAGACGCCCCGATCATCGCTATACACCTTGATGTAGAGAACGGTTTACCTATTTATGGAATAAACATGAACATGCTTATAATCAGACTCTACATATAGTAAATATTCTGTCGGTGAGAGTAATTCATTTATAAATACTCACCAGGTTCCCACCGTGAAAAGTTGAAATTCCTCCAATAATTATCCCATGTCCATCCATCGAAATACAAGGAATGGCCGCCAATCCACACAGACCAATTAAAGTTATTTTCCAAAATATCTGATACAAACACAGGACATTTAAAAGGTTCAAATTTAAAAAAGACTTTAAGACTCATTTCATTAGTTAATATAGAAAAACTCTGACCTTTCACAATAAAGTTTTGCTCATTTTCGTCTGTCACGGACACCAGAAATCCACTCTGATTTGTACAGTTCTGTCTTGCTTGCTTCCATTTTTGAACTTCTGGAACGAACTTGTAACAGAATCCGTTATTCTGGTTGGCTTTCCAGGTATTTTCACAATAGTATTTTGCATTTACAACTGTAAAAATCGAGAACTTTTAAAATAAGTGATCAAGATTTATTTAGATGAAATCCTTTCCTCTAAATTCAAACTTAATTAATTACTACTCATCAATTAATTTTAGTTGAAGTTTAAGCTTATTCTCATTTTATATAAATTGAATAGAAATCATCCTTGACGAAAAGCACTTCGTGTAGAATATTTTTAGATGAGTTTTTTTTTTTTCTCAGACAAGGCTTTGTGACACTCACTATGTTCTGTTAACACTGTACTCGCATCTTTTTAAGAGTCATTCTCTGTAATGACCTGAACTCTTATTTAGAAACCTTGCATAGTCACAGAATTTCTCCAAACTCGCTAGGATAAAAGTATTTGCTACCATAAACTCTTATCAGGCAAACAATAATTGTTATGTGTCATGGTATCCATGGTAATATTGCACAAAGATTGTAAAGTAGCATTTTTGAAAATGTTCAGAATCCCATTATATAGGGTTGCAGAAAAGTGACAATTACTGTTTCCAAAAGTTGAAGACTTGATTTTTTAAATGGATAAAAAATATATTTGGGAAACCACCTATTATATATGTTACTATGGAAACAAAGTATTGAAAAGTAATAATTTGATTCATTCCTTTTGATATAGTTAGGTCATTGCTTTTATACTAAATCGTACTACGGAGTACTCCTTATACCTGATCAATACAAAAGGTTCACGGCGGGTGTGACCAGGGGAGTCAACAGAGGATGCTTACTCCTCCTAAACACCTTTGTCTCCTTATGCTGTTTTAAGGTCCGAACAATGTATATTCGGAAGCCTTAATTTTTTTAAAGATAGCAACATTAATCAAAACTTAGTAACAAATTTAGTGTGGCTACACTGTGTTACCATGGCAACCATGAAAGTTATTTTTAGAATAATATTGCCATTACCTTATTACGTAAGGTCAACTATTTTTGTTGTTTGTCTGGTTTTGGTGATTGAGTTTCATCATGTAAACTTATCAAGAGTGAATATTGAGCATTTTTCAGCATTAATTTTCAGCATTTAAAATGTATTCTAAAGGTTACCTCTTTCTTAGAGATATATTTCATCATTGGCAATAAGGTTAAAGTTTTTGTAAGAGTGGTATATTTGGTTTTCTTAGTCTTTAATGAGGCTTAAAAAAGTTTGGAAGTAGCTGAAAATCTCAATTTTTCAAATTTTCCCACCTGTTACCATGGCAACCAAGACTCATAGCAACCAAAGTTTGTTGATAAATGTTTCTGGTGTCAATTTGTAAAAAGAGTTTCGTCAAATTTGGTGAGAATGCATGCCAAAAAAGTTTAAATGGTTACACAGAATAGCTCTTATAATGTAAAATTGTTTGAAAATTTTTGCAAACTTTTGATGGCATTTTCTCTGATGTATGCCTCAATTAATTAGTTTGTCCGGATTCTAGTATTTTCATGCTTGAATTAATTTATTTGATAGTCATGAAGGTTCATTTTTTAAAAACTATATTTCCCTTAATAATGATTTCAAAAATATCCAAAAATTATAAATGAATAACAAAGTCAATTTTGCATTGTAATCGCCCATGAGCTAAAATGTTAAAAATGAGAAAAAAACAAAGATCAATCTCATAAATCTTACAAACAATACAAATAGAGGTCAGGACAAATACACAGACCATTTGGAACACAAGAGATGGGATCTGGTGCCTATAAGTACAAAATGTACCCATGTCGACCGGTCACACCAGCCATAAGTCCTCTGTATTGATCAGGTAAGTGGAGTAATGCCTAATCAAAATTAGTTTTAAAGTAATGGCAGTGAAATTGTTCTGAAACATCGGCCCAGAGATAGGTTGTATTTGCAAACAAGGTCATTATGACGACCACAGAATTTGCGAAATAAGACTTTTGAAATTCCTGTAAGTTCAATTTATTTGTCAGCAGCCTGTCTCGGTTTAACAATTTGATCATACGCAGAACAGGCTCTTATTTATTTTAATGAAGGAACAACATGGCAATTCTTGAAACATTTATTCATTTATTTTATGCATCAGTGAAAAATTAATATTGTATGCCTAAAAATATTCCTAATGGGAGACTAATTTTCTGTATATATGGTAAAAAAATGATGCTGAGAAATAGTAGTTCAAAAAATTCAAAAACATTCGAATGTTTCCAGTTAACTATTTACAAGAATTTTTCCATCTTTCTCAGTTTTTTTTTAGGATGGAAAAAGTTAACTTTCTAACGATTCTTTCATACTCATTACGGATCGAGAGGCTCATGTTCGATTCTCGTTCGCCGCCGCGTCAAATTAAGATGTAAACATAGGTGGTGACTGTTCCTTCGCCAAGCACCCGGCATTAGATGTGCATGTCACGGATCTTTCGGGTGAGACCTTAAAAACCGAGGTCCCGTGTCTCGGTAGGCGTTGGCACGATATAGAACCCTCACTGCTCAATGGCCCGCAGTGCCCAGTATAGGTCTAAATTTGAAGCCCTTCACCGGCATACCGTGACGTCTCTATATGAGTGAAAAATTCTCGAACGAGAACATGCAATTAATCAATCAAAACAAATTCATTTTTGATCATTTAAGTACACAACTAATTAAATCTAGGTAACATAATGTGCTTACCTTGAACAACAAGAACGAAACCTAATGCTACAAAAAGATCCATCATTTGAGTTCATCCAAGTAAGAATGGACAGAATAGCTTAAATATCAACGTTTATTTCATCTGTGTTGATTTTGTGTCTCTAAGAAATACATTATGAACTGTGTCAGAAAGCATTTAACTTGAAACACTTCTTGTATCTAAATAAATGCATCTAAGATATATAATACCCTAGAATTTCAACAATGTCGAAGCTCTAATGCGACTCATATTTCATAATAGAGGATGCTTATGCTAAATAAGAAGAAACTCAAACCTTCAAACCGACTTCTCGGTATAAAGTTTCTTTATACAATTAAATAATGTCGACCACAACATATTTAAAATGTATTAAATCCCAAAAGATACAACATCTTGGTATCTGCGCTCCGATGACATACAAATACCATTTACATGAGTATTATGTTAATCATTCTGTAAACTGAAAAGGTCAATTTCCTTAAGTCAAACCCAAAGGAAATAGATACACTTCTTAATGTTGTATGTTGTAAATAATAGTTAAAAAGAGGGAACCACAAAATTCGTAAAATTTTAAACCTTTGTGTTTTGTTTTGTTTTTTGCTTACCTCTTTAAAAATCGCTAAAATTAACGTTCATTGATAGAGTTACTTCCCCTCTTGACGTCATAAGAGACATTCAACCTCAGAAACCGATAATGATATATATATATTATTATAACAGTAACTTGATCCGAAGAGCCGTATCACGTCAAGTTGACAGGCGCGGATCATCAGATCAAACGAGACGCGAAGCGTCGAGTTTGATCTGATGATCCGCGCCTGTCAACGAGACGTGATACGGCTCTTCGGATCAAGTTACTGTTATAATGATAAATTTATTATATACCCCTTAACAACTAACAAAATATGATTAAAAAAAAACTTCTTGGATCAATTTCATAACTTTTATCCATTAAACAAACCATTTTGTCAAGGAATTTTTTGATGCGCGAGATTAAAAACGTCATTAATCTGTGTACTACGTCATCAGTTTCAGAGAGGGGTGATATGGATTCAGAAAACCACAGTGTGGTGATCCGGAACGTCGGATCACATCGTCTCGTGACTGCGTAAATTCAACAGTAAAACTGAGTGACAAACAGTTGGGTATATAATAAATGTATATACCAAGCCTTTTTCACGATTTTTGATATTTGACTTACCAAGAAAACGTCTGAACCGGCGCCTTTAAACTTTATTTAAAAAAAGTAAGTAATAATAAAACCGAAATTAGAATTATTCATAGATCGTTTTCTTACAATTCTCAGCGCTGGTTCTGTAAAACAAAGTTACACAGTTAACTTCTTTTATACTAAACATGTAGTTTCTTTATTTCACAGCATTATTGCGAATTGGAGGAATTTATTTTCAAAACCAAATTGGACGAACATAAGCTACAACACTGTGTGTTATACAGTGCGTTAGATCTTGCAGACACTTTGTTCTGATTTTATCAGCTTGACGAGGTAACTACTAGTAATACATATGGATGACTTTCTACATATACGCCTTTCAGAGTTATATAGCATACAGTGGAATCATTGATAACTCACCATAACTTAACGAAAAATTTTAAATGCATTCTTATTTGTGACTTAAAACTTACAACACAATATTTTTTATCATTTAAATTTAACTTGAATTCTTATGTAGGAATAAATATATTTATTTAGTGCTTTTCTAATCATAATGCAGTTTTCTTTGTTTTTGCTTAATTGTAAAAAATACTCATTCAGAAAGAAATCAACTTAACACTTGTAAAATAGTACAAAAAATAAACTGAACGCAGTAAATGGAACACAGAGAAAATAATTATTTTTAATAACAACACACATTAAAAAAATAATATAATAAAATACTACTGGTTAATGTAACATTCATTGCATATATACAAGAGCAGGTTTTAAGTACGATCGATTTTCAAACCGAAGCATGCTACTGACAGATGAGTTGATGTTATAGGGATTTCAACAATCTCGTTTAAAATCAGCATTTCGCAATTCTATGGTCGTTAAAATGACCTTATTAGTTAGTTTGTTTGTTGTTTAACGCCCCCTCAAAAATATTTCACTCATATGGAGATGCCACCACCTGCTTGGTGGAGGGGCTGAAAATTTAGACCTGTACTCGGCACTCAGGGCCATCTTTTTCGTGCCAGAACCTACTGCGACACCGGACCTCGGTTAATAGGTCTTATCCAAAGGACCAGTTTCCACGTCGCGCAGTGGGTTTGAACCCGCTACTCTAGAACAAACGCTCTAACCACTGCACTACGCGGCGACTTGACCTTATTAGCAAATATAATGAAAAAGGTGAAGATAACTAACAGTGATCGATCTCATAAAAAATCTACTCACAATACAAATCTGTGAACAGGGCATAAAACCCGGACTCCCGAATATTTCAGAGGTGGAATCGGGTGTCTACGTGGAGTAAGCATTCCCTGTCGACCTATCTTTGGGTCGTACTTTGACTGACATATTTCGTAGCAATTGTTCTAGGGCTTTGTTTTTAACTTAATTTCACTACGGAATATTTCGTCTACCTGATCAATACATTGTGCTCACGGCGGTTGTGATTGAATAGGGATGCTTACTCCTTCTAGGCACCTGACGCCACCTCTAGAATTTCCGGGGATCTGTGTTTTGTCTTGTTCACAGATTTGTACTGGTTGTGGATTTATTTTTATAATCCATCACTGTTATTTATCTTCACCTTTTCCAGATAGATTCGGAAACTTGATTCCAATATGACAGAACCCTCCTTATCTAGGTAAAAGCCAAGACATTTTAGATGAATGCAAATTATCTATACCTATTTAAAACATTGAAATGGCACACAAACATCCTATGCAGTGTAAACTTAAGTATGAAAGGAATGGATAAGTATCAAAACAATGAACAAAAGTTACCATCCCTCAATAGGGTTTACTTTATATAGTGTCAAATAAAATTTTCTGAAAAAATGAAACAGTTTTTATTGTTGCCAGCAACTCTATAAATATATTTATACATATTTAGTTACAATACAATCCTTACAACTTCATCATAATAAACATCATAAAAATGCTTATTCAAAAAAGAAATGGTTAAACTTTAGTAAGGACCAGAATCCTTTTCAGAGATACAAACAAGTACAATATTTGTATATAAGCATTGTTAAGGTGATCGGAGTCTGGTCTTACTCATCTTAAATATACATTCTTAGGCTAAAAGGAAGTGAAAACACCTTCAGGCACATTTTATTTGTGTAGTGACGAGTATTATTCAAAATCATATAGAACGTTGTTAACTTTCTCCGGTTCTTCTTTTTAATCGGTTGTTCTGTTTTAGTAGAACACGCCATTTATTGGCACCGTAAAAATCACTCTGAATTTTCCTTAAGGGTCCAGACCAACTGTCTTGCTAAGCATCATATTCTGAAATGAAATATTTTTCTAAAATTGTAGAATCTATATTAATTAAATCAAAAACAAACTAGCCACAGACTTTGGAAGGAAAGAATGCTGTCCACAATTTTTTTTTCTTTTTCCTGTCTTATATTTTTTTGTAAATATTTTAAGAGGGTTTTATTATTTTTAATATTAATAATATTTCTGTGGAGTAAGTCGCTCTGTTTTAAATAAAACTTGATTATTCTAGACTATACAGATAAAGTCAACAGTTTCCTACCTCCGTCATCCTTTTTTATAAAATGAATTTTATTCTGCAGCGTGCTGTTTCCCTGTAATATATTAAAAATAAAACACATATTGATGTTGAAATGTGTGCAACATAAAGAAAGATCATTATTAACGATTATTTTTTTCTCCTTAGAAACACCACAGTTACTTACTACCGTCAACTGAGTCATCTTAGTCTGCCTCACCCTAACCTCCCTGCTAAGTCTTACTTCCTCGTATCCCTCGGAGTGGGCCTGAGATTGTATAGAAACTGCTCCACCGCCCTACAATAAAGCAAGTCATTAAACATATTCTTTCATGTTCTGATAAATTTACATGGTTGTTATGCAAGTTTCTTACCCATTTAATTTCCTCTTGTCTGCTCTTTTCAGTTAAACCATTACTCGACGAGAACTTCGATTCAAACATTTTGACTTTTTGTTCAGTTTGAGAGTGTTTTTTGGTCTCTGTCTGAGTGAGAATTTTACCTCCTTCAATCTGCATGAAAAAACAATATAGTCATATCACTGTTTGAAGTACACGAGCACTCTCTACAATCCACTTTGTTATATATATCACTGTTTGAAGTACATGAATACTCTCTACAATTCACTTTGCATTACCCTTGTTTCCAGTGAGCTGACGTAGAAATGATTTTCGAAGACTTTATTTTCATTGAATGTCTTTGAATGCGTTTCCTTTGTTTCGATTTGTATGTCATTTTCCGCAACTATGTCAGGATTTTTCTATATTAAGGGAGTTATCAAATATAAAAGCTTTTAAGGAAACCCATGATCACAATCATAATTCACAGATACAAGCTTGCAAAAAATGTAAGTTAATGATAATATTTTTTTAAATAATATAATACTTTAATGAATTTTTCAAAATTTAAAACTTACCTTTGTCATATAAAAGTTATCTAAATTATTTTGTTTTTGGCTGTGTATTTTTAAAAATGGTTACAAAGTTAAATCTTAAATCTTCTAAGCATTCTGTAAAACTTAGCAAACAAATTCATTCATTAAAAAAATGGAAAATATTTTATTTAAAGGTTTAATTTAATTCCAGGTATATTGCACTAAAATTGAGGGAACTCCTCTAAAATCTTTTTTTTTCTTTGTGTATAGTGTGATAACTTACACATTCCGTATAACCAGCAGGAACCAATGCCATTGTCTGTGTGTTTGAAGTGGAATTCTCAGAGGCTGTGGAGGATACCACTCTGTGATCTTTCTCTTTGTAAGCTGACTTGTCTCGTTTTCGTTTCAAGAATGGATACTTTGCCTGTAACGCTTTTCTAATCTACGAAAACATTTTTTACTCCATATTTAATACTGAACAAAAAATTGTACACAGATTCTCTTAACAGTCGATCATGCTACAATTTATATATGAATATTAACAGACCCTTAAAAGACAAGAATGTAGTCATGATTAAATATGCTACTTGGTATTTAACATGCTTTAAAATTGTAATATCTGCAAAAGTTTCAACAGTAATGATGGAAAAAGGCAAAGAATGAGCTGGATTTGATGTACAAACGTTGAACGTGTGACTTATTTTAAGTCCTACTTTATTCGGTAATAGTTACCTGTATTGAGTTTGCAATGGTAAATATATACTGAAATGCTACAAGATCCTCATTAATGGCAAAGATTCCAAAAATCCACGTGATTCCGAGAACAGGAACAAGAGTACATACACTCCTTAGGGCCTTTCTTTGAAATAAAAGAATGAGACTCATTTAAAACCGTTTCTGTTTTCATACAGATGGGACAGTTTCTTCCAAGAAATTCACGAGATTTATTAAATTTGACCTTACAGAAACTTTGAATAAAAAAAAATCAGGAATTCAAATGTTATAGTGCTAATGAGCTCGCCGAAAATTATTATGACTACCGGTATAATGAAGTACCTGGCCTTTTCCTTAATCTCAGCTTTCTTCATTTTTGTTGTCAAAAACATAACCCGTAACAATGACACAATTATACAAACATTTAGCTGGAATAGAGTTGAAAAGATATCTAATCAGTACAGAAAATAAGGCACGTCCTTCTTTACAAAATCACTTGTGCATAATAGACTTAGAAATAAAATTAATACGGAATATAGATCGTTTAAACATACCAAGAATATAAGAATAACAGGGACAATGAAGGCATAGATAGCTCCCGAGGACACAGACAACCAACAGCTGTAAATATCAAAAAGATGGCATGTGATCTTCTCCAAAAGAATTCAAGTAAGAGATTTAGTCTTCATGTTTAAATTTCTGAACATCTTAATTTGCTTAGGTTGTATATAACTAAGAAAAGACATATCTCAATATCTCAAGTTGTAACATAACAATATTGTAGAGGGTTGTTTTGTCTAACGTTAGATCTTTGTGAAAATTCAGGGAAAATGCATTGGCTTCAATTTTGTGAGAAAATATTTACAATGCTTCTGCGTGGTACTGTGTGTCCCAACAGCTTCCAAGTGTGATAAGAACGATAACCAATGGAATACCTGGAATATTTATAAGAAAAGTGAAAACATAACTGCTGGTCAAAGATGGTTGAAAATCACAAAACTAATTATTTCTTACACGTGGCTAGACCAAGAATCCACTTTAGCCTAGATCTTGAGTTAAATTTGTTGGCGATGCCCATTGCATAAAATAACACAGTGACGTTCATGAAAAAGAACATTCCGACTCCGAACATCAAAAAGAAGGTTAGTAGAAGGAAAAAGTGTAGGAAAAGCGTAACTACCACACATGCTGCCTACAAAATAATAAAACAAAGCATTCCCCAACTGGAAAAGGACACAAGGGTGTAAATTGTAATATCGGAAAAAACAGAATTTGGGTGCAATATCCATTATATGGTTTCGGTTTGGTTTAATAGGAATAGCATGCATATTGGGTTATTAGATGGTTCAATGTTAAATCCTTATAATCAAACATTTCGCTAAATCTATTTCTACATTATTATAAACATGTTTTTTATCTCTCATGATTCCATAAATGGAAGTACCTCATTTTGAGCATTATCAACTCCTGCAAGCAGTATCAGGTATGCAAGGAAGAGAGAGACACACAAACATATTATAAGAACATTCTGGTCACTTTTTATTTGCCTGAAAAAAAACGATATTTTTTTTAACCTGCGGCACCCCTGAGACCCTTACTCACATACATGCTTACAAAATAAACACTATTCTGCTGTAAATGTTCGATAATCATACATTTGAAAAACGATTCATAGATTTCCAGGAAGTTTGACACTCACATTTGAAGTTATTAATGTGCTCTTTGAAATCTTTAACGAACTTGAATTTTCAAAGAGCTTTTCCCTCCTGCTGGCATTACTGAATTTCAAACTCCCTCATATATAATAAGCAAAAATTAAACGTCTACATTTATAACTCAATTATTATTTTAACCTTTCAAAAAAAAAAGATTAACTGTATGACAGGTAAGACCTTAAACACACAACATTAAAGATTAATTCTTTGAATTAAGTTTATTTTCATTTTCTGACTTAATTAAATGTAGTTTATATGCTATCTTACTTCCAGAGAATAGCGTATACAGTTATCGTCAGTACACCAAACAACATGGATATAACACAACCAACAATGGATATTATGACAAGGACAGAATCTTCTTTTTCCTGAAATTATGTAAGAATATTTTGTACAAGTTGGCAATTTAAGGGGAAAAAAAGAAATACATATATGTCGGAGTTATATGTTAATTTGAGCTTCTAGGACGGTTCCTAAGTGAGAAGATTTATTCGTGTTATGAGGTGTTATAACTACACTATCTTACCACTCATTTGCATAGCTATTGTTCATAAATATTGGAACAAATACAAAAAATAATAAGATGAATGCATTTACCGGTGTATAAGGTCTCATTAGAACAGCGAAGTTTGTAGTGTGGTTACACAGACAGACCGTCACACCATTCTCTGTGGAATTCATAGAACACCCTTCTGTTGACCATCCTCCGGCATTGTTACTATAAATAATACTTATTATCAAGACAACAAAGTATTTAACGTTTGACAAGTGCTCTCTGTGTCAGTCTAAGAAATCATAGACGTATAGAAGAGGTTATACTGACGTACAATAATGTGTAATCCCAGTATACACAATCGGCTTCTCCTTCCAATACTCTCACCTACAACAATGAAAATTCTTACACAGTATAAAGTTCCTATTTCCTAGTAAGTAAATTTAAAATGATATTCAATTTAACAAATATTTCGTGAATACGACTTTCCATCAATTACACGTAATTAAATTATCTACAGAATAATCAAAAATGTACTTGTCTTCAATAGAGTTATTGCATAACCCTATATTGCACATTTCTTTGTCAATCCGCCAAACGCTTTTAGAAGTGATGAAATGTTCACTCACAATCGTCGAACTTAAACTTCGGGATGAAGGTAGTAATTGAATTATTCATTGTCATAAAATGTCTAGATGTTTTATTGACATCTTTTTCTGCTGAATAAAAAAAATATATCTTAAACACATAATAGATTTAGGCAAATCTATGCTTTGTAAAATGAACACATACTATAAGCTAAAATTGTTTTATGATTTAAGAATTTCTCAAAAAATGGCCACAAAGACTGTTCAATGTGATACATGCTAGGAAAAATGTTTTTGACGTTTTATTGTTTTCCAGCAAATTGGACCGTGATAGTCTCAAATCAACATTCAGAAGCCACGGCGAGTTTTGATATAAAGGGTAGGCATGAGCTGCTATAGAAAACATTTGTGTCTTACCTTTTCAAAGAAGCATTAAAGGTGCTTAGACACAGATTTGAACTTAATATTTTCTCAAATTTTCTGTATAACATCATGGCTTATATATTGCAATAGAATTTCACACGAAAATATAAATAAAAACTTATTTTATCTGGAAATTATTAGAACTACGAATTCCGGGAAGCGTTTGATTAACACATCTTTGCACTTACACAATTGTTAACTTTATCCTTAATATTTAAGAAAATAAGCGATTTTGTTATGTATTAATGAAAAATATTACATCTATAATCCAGAAAATTCAGAGTAGAAATGTTCGAAAGCAAAAACCAACTCACCAGTATTGTCAGTCCGTGCTCAGTGATGTGTGCAGAGTTTAACAAATTGAACACACCCATGAAACGTAAACTGTTTTTGTAAACAGGGCACGAGCTCTGTTTTTGTTAATGTTTATGATTCACCGGGTGTGTTCAATTGTTAAACTCTGCACACACCACTGAGCAAGGACTTACAATACAGTAAGTGATTTTGCTTTCGAACATTTCTACTCTGAATTTTCTGGGTCATAGTTTTAATATTTTTCATTAATACACAACAAAATTGCCACTTTTCTTAAGTATTAAGAATAAAATTAAAATATGTGATAGCGCAAGGATGTGTCAATCCAACGCGTCCAGAAATTCGAAGTTTTAATAACTTCGAGATGAAATAAGATTTTTATTATATTTTAGCATGAAATGCTATAGCAACATATAAGTCATGAAATTATACAGAAAATTTGAGAAAATATTAACTTCAAATCTGTGTCCAAGCACCTTTAACAGATTGAACATTTTTTTTTAGTGATCCATAATAACCCTTTTTTTCTTTACAGTCAAACCAGGAATAAATCTAGAAATCTCTCCACATTACAGAATGGCTGTTCAAAGAGGAAGTACACTGGAACTAGTTTGTAACATAACAAATTTACAAGATCTAGAGGGACTGCCGATAGACATTTCTCTATTGACCTGGTACAAGAACGGCGTTAGATTAATACAAGGTAAAACTCGGGGCACTGGTTAATTTGTAATTGTAAAATTTTATAATTAACTCACTTTGTATATTATAAACTTTGCATATTCCATAATAAATTGGATAAATATTTAGTGCCCCATGAAAAGATTTGCTGCACTCTCTCCTCCCCCCCCCCCCCAGTCCCCCACTCAGCACTTATCTATATTATTTATTGATCACATTTATCTACTCCATGGCCATAAATCAAATGCTGTTTTTAACAATCTTGTTTATTAAAAAATGAGTCTGGAAAACAAATGTACTTTCAAACAACGTTTCTATGTGTAATTACAATTTCTTTAGAGAAAATTTAGTAGAATTTGACTATTTGTAAGCCTTTCGTTAATCACTTCCATTACGCATTCAATTTTACGAATTTTTAAATAGAAATAGCAAAACTTACCATGACGACGAGCCGGTCCTCCAGTCTCCTTCGGATTCTGTCCGTGGATCCCAACGACCAGGGCACCTATTCCTGTAACCATGAAATATATCGGGTATCGAGGGTAATAAACACAACAGTGGACATTTATAACAAAGGTAAAGAGGATATTTGTAAACGAATTAAAAAAAATCTTTAGTCACTCATTAAAGGACTGGGTGCTGGTTAATTTAATTGTATTTACTTCCAGGTGCAACCGTGTGTCCCTCATCAAAAGATATTTATGGAATTTTATGGCCAACAGTAATTCCCGGATCCCTCACTCATTCTGATTGTCCTGAGGGACAACAAGGTACGTGTAGGAATACTGGCATGGTATCTATGTATACAGAGAGCCAATGAAAAAAAGACAACAAGGAAAATTTCATTTCATGTTTTATTTTAAGAAGGTGATATATACATCAAGAAGAACTATGATAGATGTTAAGTATAAAAAAAAAAAGATATGATATTTCATTAATATGTTGGTATTAGAAATTGAAAATATATAATTTATCTAGAAATAGTATTTTACTGCATAATCACACGACAAAAAATATAAACACTACCAGAGATCGAAACCCTACAATATACTTAGCCAATTCTTTAAACACTGAATTAAACATGCAAAAACAATGTAACAAATCATGACAATACAAAATTGACCTTTAGTTCTTTCAATGTTAGATATATTCTTTCAAAGATTTGTGTCGATGTTACGTCTATTCTTCCGGATAATGTTATTTTGTAGGAAATGCCAGCAGATTTTGTGATTATAACGGAAACTGGAAGAAGACAAGCGTGTCTTACTGTGTAGATGCAGAGTTTTCCAATACCTTGAATGAGGTTTTATTTTTATTTCTCTCTTAATTATTAGTAATTTTTAAAGTGCAAACCATAAGAAAAAAAAGACCTTAACACAATTGTCTCAGATCCGGAGATTGAGGTATAAATTTATTTACGTATATGTCATCACTATCACCATCTACCATTTTTATTATGCCCCTTGCCTGAACTTTTTGAATTTTAATGACATTATACTACTATCTGAAAAATAGAATTTATCCCAATTTTAAGAATTTGTTAAATCTTTTAGAAATTTTAACTGATCTTCAATATATTTATCAATGTTGAAGATCTTAAGAGAAAAAAAAAACCTCTTTTAAAGAGGCTGGGGGGTTGTGGCCATTTTTAGACTATATTGATCTCCTTTAGAAGAAGAGCTCCCTATGAAGATATAGAAAATGATCAAATTTTAAAACTAAAATTTTTGAAATTTTTCTTTGCCAAATGATAGTTGACAGCTTAAGATATCATATCTAAAAAATTAAGTTAAATCTGGTGGTTAATTTGTTGACCCCCCCAGCCTCCTTAAATCTATCTTTACTGTGTATCTGATTACCAGTATGCAATAAACAAATGTTCCAAATATCATTCTATGTAAACTTTCCACCAATATTAGCCACTTGACACTGTCGTCTCGGGTTGAAATGGAGTAAAATTGAAAAAAAAAATGGGCCATTTTCCTTTTTTTTCAGCTCCAGGTTCTAGAAGATGACGGAGTATTAGATAAAATGTATATTGAACAAACTTTTGAAAGTTCCCTCAAGAAAACAGAAAACCTTACTGCCTCCAAGACCGAAATCTCCTCAGCAAATCTACTGTCCTCCATTAATATCATAAACACAGTTCTCAGAGTAGCGACACAAAGCAACGCTTCTGTTCCTCAAAAAGTAAGAAAACATGTTTTAATCCTAATGTAAAACTACAGGACAATAAAAATTTAATTACGTATGTTATGTCAACATTCAATGGAGCTAGAACGGTCACAATTAATCATTTCTTTTTTCCTGAAATAACAGAATGTGTACAGTATTGTGGACCATGTTGCTTCTGCAGACAATAGAGAATCTTGGAAGCTTGTTGACGAGGAGGTATGTCTAAGCTTCTTCAAATCCTACAAAATGATAGGAACTTATTTTGCCCATTTTATTGAATCTTACTTTTCATATTGAAAGTCCAAGGAAATGACATGGACATGACGTTCTAACTATGTCAGTCATTCTTTCAACTGAGTTAAACTGACTCTTTTTCTATGCCCGTAGATAGATATTGTATCATTCTTATAAGTGGTTTTTATTATGCCTTACCAGATAAGTTTGCTTTTCAACCCCAACATCTCAGTTTCAAGAGAATATTGAAAAAAGATATGAAAAAGTGTTAGACAAGTAAATACCTTATCTTTGCTGTTTACAGATTAAATTTTGTAAAGTATTCTAAATAAATATTTTAAAGATTTCATATTCTATATATCGATACCTAGCTGGTGAGGAATTTCAAATTGTATGATTATAATGATAATGTCTTACTGCCCATCATACTTTTAAGACACACAGTGGACCGGAATCGGTTTTGGAGACAATGGATTGGACCAACTCTCTGCTGATGAAGGAGCTGAAATCAGAAGAATTTAGAGGAGAAAATGTCGGTGTGTGAGGCATTTCTGATTTCTCTATAAAGCGATATATTTAAGGAATCTCTGTTTAGTTTGCTGTGTTATGCCAGGGCATCAAAGATATTTTGAAACGTTGTGTAATTTGCATAACAGGCGAAGCACATCGTCCGTTGAGCAAAAATTATCCCACGTTTCCAACTGACGTTGATATCCCTGGTATACCCAACAAACTAGACAGTGATTTATTATATTTACATTTATATGTGAAACAGAATTGTAATATAAATAAAAATAAACTGATAACAGACACACAGACAGCTGCGATTGATATGCATATTGGGCACTTGACCTCTCACTTGGCCAACTAACAACTAAATTGTATGACAAACGAGATGACTTCAGCTTTTCCTTATTTATGTAGTAATATTCCGCTATCACCAGCAGCATATGGTGTTTACGTCTCCCAACTTATTCGATACTCAAGAGCATGCTCATGAGTACGATCAGTTTTTAAACCGAGACAGGCTACTGACAGATGAGTTGATCTTACAGGGATTTCAATAACCTCATTTCAAGTCAGCATTTCATAATTTCTAAGACTGTTATAATGACTTTGTTAACAAAAATAATTTATCATTGGGTCGTGTTTTGGCTACTTTGTTCATACCAATTGTTAGGCCTTTGTTTTTATATTAAATTTGACTTCGGAGTGTTCCGTCTACCTGATCAATACATAGGGCTCACGGCGAGTTTGACCGGTCAACAGGGGATGCTTACTCTTCCTAGGCACCTGATCCCACCTCTGGAATTTTTGCTTTATGCTCTGTTCACAGATTTGTATTGTTGATAGATTTTTTTGAGATCGATCACTTTTTGTTTTCTTTACCTTTTTTATAAGCGAAATTTACATTCAATTGTAAATATCGAGAAATCAACACATCGTCTAACTTTCAATGAGATATCACAGATAAAACAGTTGGAAATGTAAAAATATGTTTTTATACTCTTTTTCCTGCATGCGTTGGTTTCTTGTTCTCTACAGAACAATGGAAAATAAAGAGAATTTATACTACACACGTGAAATATTCTTCTTACCTTTAACGTGTAAACTTTGACTTGACAAGGAGCCTTTGTGTACATTTAATTAAATGAATTTAATATTAGGTTTGTTTTTGTATGAATAATGTATAAAACGAACAAGAAATTTTGTTACAGAATTCATCTATTTTCATTGTTACTCGTTGAGAACTGCTGTATTCAATGCGAGGAGTTATTCTTTGTTACACAGTAGTCAACATCAGTGAGGTATCATTACAAGAAGCAGAGCTACGCTTTCTGGAGAATGAATCCTTCATCGTGCTTCCAAAGCAAGAGGGGCAAAAACAAGGTAATACTATTTAATTATCTAATGCGATTATTTTATTATAGTAATAATTGCTTGAGCTTGATAGCTCACCATAGGAAGTTGAGGTTTGGTGTTTGTCGATAAAAAAGTGTCTAGTTTGATTTTTTTTTACTTCAACTCCAGAGCTTACGCTTTAATTTTAGCAAACTTATCTCGAAAATTCTTGTCCATTTTGTGAAAGTTTTACCCCTAAATGAAACAGAGTACAAATTGCACTAACAGTTTACTCTTCGATTAAACACAAGGGTATAAAATTTCAAAGATATATATTAAAAAAAATAATAGCATCTTAATTTGGTGGATATTTCACATGTTTCATCTGGCTTAAATCATGGCACATGAAGCATGGATTAGACCAAATATGGTATCCAAAGTTCTTAGGAATGTTAAGGAAAAAAAGCTCGAGATATTTCCCAAACCTGCTACATCTTGTAATATTTTACAATTATCCCTATGAGAGGCAGATTTCTGATTGTATAACAGGGGATCCCACTTTTATATAGAAAAAAACATGAGTTAAAGATTTCAAAATATTCGTATTTGGAGTAAAATAAATGTTCATTATTTTTAGGTAGAATAATTTTTCAAGGGATAGAATGAATGAGGCATCGATAAGTATTAAGATTTCTACACATGATATGCAAGAGCATGCTCTAACTTCGAACAATTTCTTAAACAAGACAAGCTTTTGACAAATAAGTTGCATTGATGAAACAAGAATATTAACAGTCTTGTTTAAAGTCAACATTTCGCAAATTCTATTGTCGATACAATGACATTATCAGCAAATACAATATATCACTAAGTCGAATGTTGACTGACGTTTTTCATACAAATCGTTAAGCCATTATTAACACACTGCCTTGTCTACGGATTTTCCGTTTTTCCCGATCATGACAAGGAGAAAACGGCGTGTGTGATCGGTCGGCAGGGGATACTCACTCCTCCATGGCACCTGATCCCACCTCTGAATTTTTTGGAGGTCTCTGTTTGCTCTGCTCCCGAATTGTATTGTTTTAATGGACTTTGAGCTTGAATGCTGTTCGTTATCTCCATATTTTATTTCACACCGAATTGTCTACGGATTTTTCCGTTTGCTCGATCATGTCAAGGAGCACACGGCTGGCGTGACCGTTCGACAAGGGATGTTTACTTCTCCGTGGTACCGATCCCACCTCTGATGATTTTAGAGGTCCATTTTTGCTCTGCTCCAAATTTGTATTATTTTAATGGACTTTGAACTTGATTTCTTATCTTCCTTATCTTCATGTTTCATGAATACAAAGAAAAAAATTTTTGTACATCAAAATATTCTTGTTGAGATAATCGTTTTTAATCATCGTATATTTCCATTTCTATTTGTTTTCTCTCTGATAACTCTTTGAAAGTTAGTTGAGTTGATTTCTTGATCATTCTACCGGAATGTAAATTTCACCGAGCGAAAGGTCAGGAGCTAAGGAGGCCTAATAAGCATGTAATTCTCGTGCGGCTGTCTGTGTTTGACGTCAGTGGGCGGGGACTATTGAAATTGACATTTAAGGCCTCGTGTAATTTAAATCTATTAGTTTATATTTTTAAAATCTAAATTTTCAATTTTATTTCACAATTAAATGCAACTATAAGGAATCACTGTCTAGTTAGTAGAGTTTGTCACGGACATCATCGAAATTGAAAACGTGCAGATGCATGAATTACGGATGATTCGGTTAATCGTGTCGTTAATCGGATTATTTCCTGTTCAATGCATTTTAACTACAAAATATTAGAACATCGTTTAATTCTTTAGTTTGAATTTATTCAATATGTTTATTATTCTTAATAATTTAGCTATCTTTTTCAATTTCAAAATTTATATTAGGTTTTGACATAAATAAACACCTGTAAATTTAAGCAGAATCGTGTAGATTTATCAGTGATATTACCCAAGCTGAACATTAAGCAATTTACGTCTCAAAGACGCCGAGGGGGCTTTGGATTCACCTACAAACACAGTCTATAGAATTAATTAAGCAGCGTGCAGTCAAAACATGGGTGTGAAAGGTGTGAATTTTTGACGACGTCGAGATACCCGGAGCCGTCCGTGCGTGACGAGCGACCATATCTGACAAACAGTTAGGTTCAGTGGAGCAGAAAATTGCCGATGTCGACATATACCAGGTAAATTTTGCTCTTGGGACTGTGAATATACGTCGATATAACCAGGGTTGTCGAGATTACCGAGGTCGACATATCAGAGTTTTTGCAAATCATTTATATAGTAAATACTGCCGGGACCGCGGACGGACGTCGACATATCCCAGGTTGTCGACATATCCGATGTCGAGATACCGAAGTTTACGTGTATATATATTTTCAAATGTTCTCTTCATATTTCTTTGTAAAAACTTGGACCATACATTAATTTTCTCGTATACATGTATATAAATTTGAGACTCTTTAAGAATCTTGAATCAATACCTAAATGAGAATGCTTGTATTAACATTTGACTACTTTTGTAAAGTCTCATAGTGTTTAACTAGAAGAGTTCTATAAATTTCTATGTTCTGGATTTGAACCCTTCTTATTACACCATCCCTACTATGAACTGAACAGAAGTTTAAGGCACGACTTCCATACATTTCAATGTAAAATTCTAGATCCCTTTAAAGTCTCAATACTATCCGGAGTTCAAAGGTGAGACAAATTTGATTTTACGACATGAAAATACTTTGATATCAGTTAGATAATATGTTGCCCTGTAGTTCTTATAAAGAAAAGTTTTTCATGATTTACCGCATCTATTTCAAAGAAAAAGTTTGTATTCCTCGTTGTATTCACTGTTCATTATCATCACCTTTTTCATTTGACCCAGGTCCATCCCTGTCTCAAAGCAACACTTTCATCAAATTTGATTCATCTATGAATAAATGCATACAAGTTTTGGACAATTTGTAGCTTTGTTGCTCTTGAAAGGATCCGAAAGATTTCACAACATATATTCATGGGTCTCGATTTAAACAAATATTGATTTCAACTACATGAGGATTCTTGCACATAAATTTGAAATGTAAGTCTTGTTCTGAAAAAAGATTTTAAGGAATTTTTTTGCCTAAAAGTTCTGCGTTAATTTTTGTACCGATTTGTTATATGTCCCGTATCATGAAGTGAACAAATGAAGCTACTGAGAAGATACCCACAGACACATTCCACAATTTGTAGCCTGACAAGACTTTAAAAGACATTTTCCTATATAATTCAATGTAAAACTGTAGAATCCTTTATATGGCCCCATTCCGGTCCAATGGTCTGGACATAATTTTGGATCGGCACTACATATGAAAAACCTTTCAAATAATTCACTTAGTAGTTGTACCGAAAATGACGTCATCCGCGTGGCCCAGTGGTTAGAGCATTTGCACTAGAGTCGCGGAGTAAGGAGTTGATCCTCACGTCGCGGGTTCGAATCCCACTTCGGGACCTGGAGATCTTTCGGATGAAACAGTATAAATCGAGGTCCCGTGTCGCAGTAGATGTTGGCAGGAAAAAGATCCTTCACTGTTCAATGGCCCTGAGTGCCGAATATAGGTCTCAATTTGTAGTCCTACACTGGCAAGTGGTGGCCTCTCCATATGAGTGAAAAATTCTCGAGAGGGACGTTAAGGAGGTTGGATCCTGTCATCAAAAGTAATGAGAATTTTTTATCAAGTATATTTTTAGAATTTATACACATAGCTTTATTAAAATTCAAAACAAAAAAATGGGGGTCAATGCGCTTCTTTTGGCGCTACAGAGCATTTAGTTTGACCTTTTTGCACTGAAAATACATCTTACACATAAATCAATTTTTAAGTTTTTCCTTCAATATTTTTTGTTCAAATAAATTATGGGAACAAAAACAGTCTTATTTTATCTTAAATAGACACATTAAAATTTGTGACAACGAAGAAATTTTCAAATTACTCCGCATGTTCAATTATTTGACCTTTTTGCACTCAAACATTTTCATTTTTCTGGCATTAAAAATTTAACAAGCAAAAAAATCATTTGAAAGTAATGACATTTTACTGAATTTAAGAAGAATGGTAAAAAGTATCGTATATATTCAGAAAAGAAAATTAAAAGTGGGAGTCTGTGATGTTAATTTTTAGATATTACTAAAATAGTGCTAATTTTAAGCTTAAATTAGGGCTATTTTTTTTCTTTATTTTCACAATTTATTTGCTATATTTACCAAATATGATGATAGAATTCATGACAGTTTATTTGATAGATAATTTAGGACCAGTATAAAACAGTCCACTGCAAAAAAATAACTATGTGTGCAGGCTGCATGTAAAAATAGGAATCCAAACTTAACATACTTTAGATACTTCGAAAGAGAAAAAATGATCATTTTCTTCTAAAAATCCTTCCGCCACAAAATATAGTTCCTCACTTAATGCTTTTGGTATGGAATTCAATCATGGAGTTTTAACTGAATATAGTTAAATTGGCATTGTATAATCCAAATTTATTGTAAGAATTAAAACATTATGGAGAATTTTTGAAATATAGGTTAAGATAAAAATCTGCTCAAAAGCTCAGGAGCGAACCTCGTTAACAACAAACAAATCAACGAAAAACGCACTATTCCATAACTATTTCCCCTTGAAAACATATCCTTTATTTGTCCCCTACCGACGAAACCTACTGGTTTCCTTCTCGTCTGTCCGTCTGTCTGTCTGTCTGTCTGTCTGTCCCTCTGACTGTCTGTCAGTCTGCCCAACTCAGTTTTCCAAACTTTTTTCTTAACACTTACAGATATTAAGCAGGTTTTTGCCATGTGAGCGTACCTTGATGAGTTACAGAATAAGTTTGCATTTCCATCCGTTTCGGTGATTTTTGACGGAATTACCACCTTTTCAAATAGTATAGGAAACCAGATTTCCCTCTCGTTTTCCGCACTTTTTCCCTAAACTCTTCCAGAGATTGTGCTGTTTTTTGGTATGTGAGTCTACCTTAATGACTTATAAAGTT